CATAACAACTGGTACCATAACAACAGTTACCATTGTAACTGGTACCATAATAACTGGTATTATAATAACTGTTACCATAACAACTGGTCCCATAACAATTGGTACCATATCAACTGGTACCATAGCAACTGGTACCATAATAACTGGTACCATAATAACTCGTATCATAATAACTGGTACCATAAGAACTGGTACCAAAACAACAGTTACCATAGCAACCGGTACCATATCAACTGGTACCAAAACAACAGTTACCATAGCAACCGGTACCATAACAACTAGTACCATAACAACCCGTAACATATCAACCGGTACCATAGCAACTGGTACCATAACAACTGGTATCATAATAACTGGTACCTTAGCAACCGGTACCATAACAACTGGTACCATAACAACCGGTACCAAAACAACATTTACCATAGCAACCGGTACCATAACAACTAGTACCATAACAACCGGTACCATATCAACCGGTACCGTAGCAACCGTTATCATAGCAACAGTTTCCATGGCAACCGTTACCATGATCATGATTTGACGATTCAATATATATATATACTTCTTTGTTTTCTGGCTTAGAGCCACTGGTATTTTTGATGATATATATATATCAAGAGAATGAGCAATGTTTGCTACATTGTGAGCTATACTGCTATATAAATATTTGTATTAGTCACTGTCACTTTGCATTGCCATAAACTGATAACGACTGAAAATATGTTAAGAATTCAGGGAATTATATAGAAGACAAATCGCCGTAAATATAAGCCACTTGTTATATGCTCTCTCTCTATTAAGTTCTCAGAATGAATTCAGTAAAAGCTAAAGAGCTCTTAAACTTCATATCTTGTTCAAGCCACGAGAGGAGGTGTGATTAGAATTATCAGTCTCGAATATAAATCATTAACAAATTTTTGCTCTTTTTCTTTATAAATTACTTCCTTCATTAAATATAATTTGATACCTTAAATTATCTGAAGTATTGTAAATTATCTTAAAGTATTTGAATTATCTAAAATAACGTAAATTATATCTGAAATATCGTGCAAGAAGTATCTTTTAAGTATTCAAAAATTATCTAAATTTAACTTAAATCATCTGAAGTATCGTGTAGTCAATGAAATATTTTGAAGTTCTGAAATACATATATACACCGAAATTATTCTCATATAAATACACGACCCAAAATGTCAATGAACTTAACGACCTTTGAACAATATATTTTCCCTGACATCCAATTTGCAAGTTGTAAATCCAAAACGTTTGAAAATCGATTTTCTGCTTTAGATCAATTTCAAGATGTTTTTTTTTTATTTCAACTTTTGTACGAGTGACAAATGGCTTGACGTCTTTTATGAGGACATTTTATATATCTAACAAGAAACGATAAAATTATCTATAGGAAAGTGTAATATTGTCATTTTTAGAAATGAAATATTATAAAACACTCGAAATAATAATAATAATAAAATTATACTAGGAGAAGGAAAACGAACTAGTTTCATGTCAAAATATAATTCGGAAGCTCAGGTACCCAATTAGAAGAAAGTTAGGATCTTAAATCATCGAGTGTTATTTTATCGGCCATTATCACCCGCTTATAGGACCGTTATCGTTCTCTCTCTCTCTTTCTTTTTTTTTTATTTTAACAAGTCGTTAATTCGTTAACGAGCCCGCAAAAAAAGAACGGTGGTTTGCAATGTTTCTCTAATGTTCGCGCGTGTGTGTGTGTTTTCAACCTAACTTGCGCATAATATTTAAAAAAAAAAAAAAGAGTTCAAAGATTGGCTTTCTCTATTCAGTTTATGTACATGCGCGTATATATAGTGGCAAAACGTATCTTATAACTTATGCCCTGCTAAAGCTCGCAATAAAGGCCGTCTGGCCTCTTGAGAAACCCGAGATGTATCTTCTCAAGCCTTAAACAACATTGCTCAATCGCATATACACTGAAAGACAATTTTTTTTTTTGCTACTTTTTAAATGCTATGTCTCAAGTTTTATATAAAAAAAAAATTCTTTGCTATACTTCATAGAACATGTTACACATAAACAAATAAAACTTCATTAACAAAAAAAAATTTGCTTAGATACTTTTTTTAAAAAAATAAAAATTATTCTTTTATATACACTGAAAAAAAATTTATTTGATTCAAATAATCGATTACTTGACTATTATCAAATAAATATTAACTTGAACCAAATAATTTTTATTTTGAGTCTAGTAAATGGTATTTATCTTAAATACAGAAATTATTTGGTTAAAGTTAATATTTATTTGATAATAGTCAAGTAACCGATTATTTGACTCAAATAAATTTTTTTCAGGGTAGATATTTAAGTAGTATTAATAATATATTTAATAATTATTTGTATATTTGATTATATTAATAATTATATTATTAATAACAATAATAATAATAATAATAATAATAAAAAGAATAGTAAATAATTAATAATAAATTTTTATTAATTAATTTCCAATTAATTTAATTGATTTACTAAATTTAATGAACTTAAGTATATTATAGCTAATATGGCAACGGTATATTTCAAAGATTGAATCGTCTTAATCGAAAGGTAAAATTTCGTTAAAGCTATACATATATATATATATATATGTATATAAGTCCACGTGTCTTATGTTTCAGTATATAAACTGTTTACATCTTCAAGACTCTTGCATTGTGTGCACGTAAAGAACGTCTCTTATCTAAACGAGATGAGACTTAATGAAATTAGACGCTCATTAAGTCAGCACAATCAATAGATTGTATGGGAATGCAATTCTTGGAGCTTTGCAAAAGCGGTACTTTCTTTATATATATATATACTATGACTTAGAAAAAAAAAATTCTACCAGGTGCTTATATATTAATTTTTTTTTTTTTTTACCAAAGTTTTAGTGAAAAATGACTAAAAATTAGTAGAAATTTTCACTAATTTAGAAAGTAGTTTAAAAATCACAATTAACTAATATAACACAGAAAATTAAAAGGCATTAAAATAAGCTGCAACGCTTCTTATTTTAATCCATTTTGGTATTAAAATAAGCAAAATTGGATTAAAATAAGAAGCGTTGAAGATTATTTTAATGCCTTTTAATTTTCTGTGAATTTAATAAAAAGAATTATCAAATTATGCATTAATGTCTTTAATACAATAAGTTATCTTAGAAAGCAAAAGTGAATTAATGGTACAGATGTTAAAGATAAACATGTATACACATAAAGTAAGCGCGCTAAACGACAGGAAGTGCTTAAATTAATGTTTAACACGTTAAGAAAGCATTTTTTTTTTTAATCACCCACAAAAAATTTAATAATATCAAATATATATCTTCACTTATATTTTTCTATCTCTTTTTAATATTACAAATATGTTATTTCCTTTATTCAAAGTACATATAATACCCTTACAAAGTGCGCGTTGAGTAAATGAATTTTACCATAAATTTCAAGTTCCCGTTAAGTAAATACTATAAAAATCACTTTTAAAGAACAATGAGGAAAAGCAATTATTAGTAAACTCTCAAAAATTGCATAATATAATCATAAATTATAGAAATATATATATAGAAATTAAACCGGAAGTGGGTAAATTTTTATTTCTGCATCGGGGTCATGAATAACAAAAAAAAAAGGGTATATATAAAAATCATATATGCATTCAGGTGATCAAATGATAAAACTATCTTGTAAGACAATGCAGTAATTAATCATTAAAATGTGTTAGTTCTATTTATAGCAGAGATAGGCCTTAAAACGGATATAATGAAGTTTTTTCAAAAAAATAATAACAATACTTTAATATAATTATTGCCTAAGAATCTTGTTCTAAATCGAGAGTTGAAATTCCATTATTATTATTATTTTATTAAAATTCATATTATGTAACTGTAATTTTTAACCACTTTCTAAATTTTGAATTAAATCACTGCAAAAATAGATGTCATTTTAAGACACTAGACACTTAGAAAACGTATTAAAATTTTCTTTACTTGTTTCATTATGGCTAGGAAAATATCTATGTTCCGCTATTGGTCGAAGATTACACTGTAATAAGAAAGTATTAAAACAGTACCGATTTTAGGTATCAAAATAGAACCAAATGACAATTTAGTACATAAAGTCGGTATTAAATTAATACCTTTCTTTTTACAGTGTAAGACACATAATAAAATGTCTTAAAAATGAGGGTAAAGGTGTCTTAAAATAAGACATTCTTTTTTTCAGTGAAATATATAACATATAATATTGAAATTATTTGAAAATATATTTAATTTGAACCTTGGCCTTTTGATTTTGCATATTTAAAATCATATATATTCCAAGTCAGTGATCTGTGTATTGAAAGAGAGTTCAGGGTGGTTCTCAACATTGTGAACAATATCGAGTTCTATATAAACGTAAGGAAGAATACTAAAGAAGAAATGCATATCCTAGAAAAGAGGGGAGTGAATCGCAATCTCCTTCTTCAAGGTTGATTCAACTCGATCTCGTTGGTAAGTCAAGCATCACTTTGATCGACTCACGCAAACCTTCGTGTGAGATCTATAGGTATACTTATATATACAAAATGCACAGATACCATTTTCTAACTTCAATTGCATTGAATGCATTATGCAAAATTATCCTCCGGCAAAATTAAAAAAAAAAACAAAAAATACGAAAATGTAAAATTTCAACTAAATAAAAATACATTTCTAAAAATTTGTAACTAAAATTTGTTTTTAATTTTTATTTGCTTTAAATTTTTGATAAAATTTTAAACGACCTCAATTGTCTCTTTTATAACGAAATCTAGAATCGAGAAATTCCAACGGATTTAAAAAGTCACCTCTATGCATAATTTTGCATTTCAATAGGAATGTTGTCTTCCAAGAGTTCTTATATATTTCGAAAAACAAAATTTGAGAGAAAGAAAAAGAATCAAGTCTCATTAATTTCTAAATAATTCGACAAAAAAATATATATATATATATGAATCACGCTCACCGCATTATTGCCATCAGTCTGCATACTGGGATCATCATCCTGTTCATTATCACCATAATCATAGTCCTCGGAACTTTTATTTAATGTCACATTAACAATTTTTGAATGATGTTTTCCTTTAATTTCATCATTTTTTAAACTATCGGTAATATTATTTTTTTTCTCAATATCCAATGATTTCACTGTTGTTGTATTCATAATGTTCATTGTCACAAAATCCAAATCATTTTTTGCCTCATATTTCAAATTACCATATGCATCACGTTTAAGATATTTTCCAATTTCAATATTTCTATAATCTCGTCGAATTTCATTTTTTTCTGTTGTTGTTGTTGTTGTTGTTGTCGTCGTTGGATCATCAAATGTCAATCGTCTAATTATGTCGTCATATTTTTTTAATGATGGTTTCACATCATTTTCATAAAAATCATTATTTAATTCCTCATCATTTTTTGTATTTATTTCTTTAGTTTCATCGTCATTTATATTGAAATAATTGCCACTAGTTTTGGAAATTTTACCATTCCCTTGAAAATATTTTCTATCATTTTGATATTTTTCATCGTCTTTAAAATATTTTCTATCATTTTTATAATATCTTCCTTCATTTTTGAAAAATTTTCCATCTTTAGAATATTCATCTTCTTTGTAATCAGCATCATTTTCTTTATCATCATTGTCATTATCATCCTCATCTTCTTCATCATCATCAAATAGATCATCCAAAATTTCATCATAATCATGCCGTGTACCGTTTAATTTATGATTCTTTTTTTTACCACTTCTAAAGACCTCATCGACGTCATCATCGAGATCATGAAACCTGTTTCGCGCTATACCTCTGTAACCGAATTTTCGTCTACGATCTCTCCTGTCGTCCTTGCGAATCAAGTTTTTGAACTTCCAATCCCATCTCGATGAAACACGCTCTTTGGAATCATCATTTTCATAATCATCCATTCGATGTTTACGGAAATTTTTTCTAATTGGATAAAAATCATCGCTATCATTTAAATTCTCATCATTATAACGATTTAATTTATCATAATCCTCATAATAATCTGATTCATCATCACCATCATCATTGTCATTATTATTATCATAGTCCCAAGGAATTTTACGATAAGTCCTATCTCTACTTGGTCGAATTCGATGATTTCTTTCTCTAATTCCATAATGTGATTTTCGTCGTCTATCATTGAATTTCATTAAATTACCACGATAATGATGATGATGTTGATGTTGATGATGATAATATGGTCTCAAATAACGTGAATCATATCTATCACGATGGTCCTTTAAATAATTTCTAGAATATAATTGTGAATCATAATCATTATCTGATTCATCATCACCATCGTAATCTTCATTATTGTTACTATCATCATCATTATTATCATCTCTCCATAATCTGGGATAATTGTGATGCCATGATTCATGTCTGTGTCTATGACGATGGACCACTTGATTATCATCCTGATGATGTCTACCATCCACCAATAAAACTCCCACGAGCACAAGGCAAACGCAGAAAAATTCACCTGTCAACACCATCCGATCTCTCGACATCTTCAGTTCAAGTCGTGACGACCTCTAATCCGCACACTTACATCATCCCGGTCCTTTTCTTTCCTTTTGTTCTATGATTCAATTTTTTTTTTTTGATAATAGTGATGCAATTATGATTTTAAAAAAATGTTACCAAAAATTAAGGAATTTCTTAAATTCAGAGAAAATTTTTTTTTTTTAAATGAAACTTTCCTGATATTCAATTATCCTCTCAAAATTAGAATATGTTATAAAAAATTAAGTTTCTGGTAAAATTCGCAAAATTTTATTCTTTTAAAATTATCATCTTTTTGAAAATTAAATTCTTAAAATTAGAATATAATTAAAAAAATTGATTCTTCTTTGATAGAAATTAAATAGTAATTAAATAATTACTAATTACTAATTTAATAATTTAAATAATTGAACAGTAATTAAGTATAAGTATTTATGTAATTAAATTCGCAAATTTTGTTCTAAATTTAAGATTTCTTATCATCTTTTTATAAAAATTTTAAATAATTTATAAAAATTTATAATTATTATATATTATAAATATTAATTATTTTATAATATTTATTATATCATTTTTTTAAAAATTTATAAAATTACAAAATTTTAATTCACTGATATCCAATTATCCTCTAAAAATTAGAAAATAATTTAAAAACTTAATCTTTCTCTTTGTAAGAAATTAAATAATAAATAATAGAAGTAAAAAGTAATTATATATAAATATTCAAGTAAATTTTATTTTTTTATTTCAAGCAAATTTTATTCTTTAAAACTTTTTCTTATCGTCTATTTTAAAAATGAAATTAATTCTATTCTTGCATTTGAAAAGATAATAATCTTAGTTAGAATATAATTTTCCTGAAATTTTTCAATTATTCTTAAAATAAAAAACTTTTCTTTATCAGGTTAGTTTAAAAAATTTCATCTTATTTTAATAATATTATATGATATACTAAAAATGAGAATAAACTGCAGACGATTTTATATTTTTAGAGCCAATTTTTAAATTTATAATATATAATTGTTTCCCTCGGCCAAAAAAAAAAAAGGATATTCTTCATTATTTAGTAAGTCCTCGTTATCGATAAACTGAACCGGAATATTCACGATTTTAAAAAAAAAAACTTAATTACAATATTTTAGAAAGTGTTACTTTCGCGAAAAATAAATAACAAAAATTCTCATTCAATCGATTATAAAGTTGAACAGTTGTTAAATGTAAATGAACTTCAAAGTTAATCGTTTCCTGTTTTCTAGGACATTATTTACACATGAACATTATATTTTATTATTATAAATAAATTAATCGAATATCGTCAAAATATTATTGTTCCGGCAATTAAAATATATAAACTTGAATTCATATTTCTTAAAAATGCAATTAAAATACCTAAATAAAATTTACTTTAAAAAAAATTTATATAAAAACTAAAAGAAGTATATTTTGGAAAATTATTTTTAATAAAATTTTTATTTCAAAAATTTTAAATATTAAATTGTCCATTTTTATTTTTTAAGGACCTTAATTTGTTAAAGAAGACAAAAATTAAGTATAAATTAAGATTTAAAATCTAAAATTTGAATTTTCAATTTAATTAAAAAAAAAACAAAAATTGATAAAAAAAAAACAATTTAACACTAGGAAAATCTTTTTTTTTTTTTTTAATATATCTTGGCTCCAATTTAAAAATAAAATCATCTGCAATTTTTTTATCAGAATTAATATCCTAATATTTTTTTAAAATAAAAATCAAATTCTTTTTGGAAGAAAAAAAATATTATTTGAAATTAATTTTTCCAATTTTGAAAATAATTTTATTATAATACATTAGAAAAAAAAAAATTTCTATAACAATGAGAAAAAAACATTTCTATTTTTTTCATAAAATTAAAATATAATATAATTCAGAAAAAAATCGACAATAATTTCGATTATCAATATTGCATCACTAATTACCTGTGCAATGCACTGTCTTGTAATCACCATTCAAGAGAACATAATATAGCGAACAAATCAAGATTTATCTCTCCAAGCGTGATACTCGCTTCCTTCATTTATTATTAATGATCGGAGCATTTAATGCTCAAACACTCACAGAAACAATTTTTTTTTTTTTTTTTTATCACTAACAAAAAAACAAAAATCTTATCGAAAATTGGACCATCCATTCAAAAATTAAATTTAAATAACAATAGATTATATATATGTTATCGCGTGAACGATCGCACACGTGTTTCTCAATCCACGTGTGTTCATTCAATATGAACAATATTCATTCAAAAACTGACAATAATTTTTTTTTTTTATGAATCCAATTATCAAAATTCCTATGTCTGGTTTCCAAAAAAAAAAATATTTAAATTTTTTTTATAAATAAAAAATTATCGCTTATTTATTTTAAATAAACTAAATTTTCACACTCATTTTTTTTTAAGTGTTTATATTTTTTTTTTCTAAATTAGAAAAAATGCTCGGGGTTTTTCTATTTTCTTTTTTTTTTTTTGAGTGGAAAAACGCGTGGTACCGGTACCGGTTTCCATTCAAAGAAAAGAATCCAATAGTATCGCGTGCCGAAGTCGCGGGCGACTGAGCCTGCGTCGACTATTGCCGATGAGAAACGCAGAACAGAAAGCGCATGCCTGTAGAATAACGACCCCCTCCCCCCCACACACATCCCTCTTTTTTTTCCCCCTCGACACCGGCAAATAATCTTAAAATTCTCATCATGAACTTGATGCATCATTATTGTCTTTAAAAAAAAAAAAAAAGATTTTTCATCCCCTTAATGTCAACGCAGATGATTTCCTGAAATTCCAGATTTATCTTAAACTAAGATTCTCGCGATTAAACACTAACGACAAGAACTTGTCTTAAAATGTAGAATAAAGGTACTAATTGTTTCATTTTCAGATTTAAATATGTGACAAGAGAACGCGCGCTATTTTAATGATGTCTATTTTAGCAGACGAATAATTAGTTAAATTTTGTTTTTTTTCATAAAATTTTAACTGAATATGTAAAAATAGACAAAAAAAAAAATTATGTTTTTTTTTTAAATTGACTATGTGATAAATATATTTATAGTTGAATTCAGAAAATAAATTTAACCAAAATTTAGAAATAAAAATAAAATATGGTTGACCACAAAAACTTTTATGAATCAAGTTGCCACATTGTATAAGGTTATAAAATTTATATATACACGCAAAAGTGTTTTAAAGTACTATTAAAATTCTTTTAAAATTTTTAACTGACCCAAACCTTCCTCTGGGAGATTTCATTTTAAAATTTCAATTTTAATTTCAATTTTGTTTAAAAAAAAATATTTCAATTTTAATTAAAAATATAAAAAAAAAATTTGTAATATATTATATGTAATAATACATTGAAAAAAAATGTATTTTATTCAAATGATCAGTTACTTGACTATTATTTAAGAAATATTTGTAATTTTTATTTAAATTAAATAAACTGTATTTGAACCAATAATTTTTGTATTTGAAACAAATATTATTTTTGCAACGAATATAAATTAATTGACTCAATAATTATTTAATACAATATTTATTTTCTAATAGTTAAGTAATCGATTATTTGAATCAAATAAATTTTTATTATCAAGGCTATTTTTTACGAAACTGATAAGAGGGAAAAAAAATCTGTTTTTGTTACGAATTTTTCTACTTCCTTTTCATCAAGTTTAATTATTTTTCTTTTGTACTTATTTTAGTTACCCATGTTTGGTCTATTTGGACCACGGGAACTTTATATGTAAATAAATAAATAATCGAATAAGATAAAAATTTCATGTACAGTAAAATTTCATTTGTAATAATAAAAAAAACGACTCACCGATCGGTAAATCTCCCACGTTGGAACAATAGCTGCATTTATTTGGAAAAAATAAAACAGGATACTGGAGCAGCTTTCCTTCGTTTATATCCTTTCGTCAGGTTATTTTTTCGATGTGAACTGAAAAAAAAATTAAATCAATAAAAATAAAAAGCAAAATTAAAAATCACCATTAATTTAATATTTTTTTAAAATAATTAATAATAAATTAATTGATAAATTTACATATTTTACAATAGACATAATTAATTGGTTGATTATAAACAATTTAACTATTAAATTAAAAAATAAATGAAAATCAGCAGAAACCTATTTTTACAAATAAAAATAATAACCATCTATTTAATTTCTATATCTTTATTTAAATAAATTTTTATATTTTTCGTCTCCTAACCTCAAAGTGAATTTTATAAAAAAAATTGCTTTCAAAATAAAATAAAATTTTTTCGTTTTTTATTTGATAAATTATTTATCATATTATTCTTCTTTATAGAAAAGAAATGAATTTAAAATTCAGTAAATATATTATATTAAATTAAAATTATTGTTTCCTAATTAACAATTAGAAGAAAAAAGAATTACACATTTTTTTGTCATTTTATAAATAATTTAGTTGCTGCCATCGGGAAAAAAATTTGCTATTGACGCAATCAAAATTTTTTTTGGTTATGTGTGCACGGAATATATTTTCGCAAAAAACTTTGTAACCTAAAAATATTTCTACTTGCATAAACTTACAGAACGTTGGATAAAAATTGTTGAAAAACTGCTGCAATTTCATCAAATTACGATAATAGGGAATAAAAATTTTTTTTCTCAAATTCCAGGAACACAAAAAAGAACGTGAACGACAATATTATATGTTCCAATGATTATTAAACACATATTTATGACACTTTAGAAAAATACTGATTCTTCTCAACATACGAAACACATGACACAAAAAAGTTTTGAGTAAAATGAAAACTATTTACACTTTTTTTACGAAGAACAAACGTGTAGTGACTGAATGCTGCAAACTTTTGTAACGGAAAATTGAGAAAATTATACTAAAAGAGAGAAGAATTCTGATTGGTTGACTGCAATAATGGCGGTAAAGTGTAATTAGTCTAATAACAACAGGCGCCACCTATAATTCTTTAATAGAACTTTCTACACCTTTTACCGACAACAATTCGTATTCTTATTGGTTGAGTCAAAATAACCGGGAAAACTGTTTGAATTTAAAATTCTAAAATGTGTAAAATAAAAGTAATTTTTTGAAAATTTGCTTATTTTTAAATAATAAAATACTCAGAAAAATTATAAGAACAAAAATAAATTCTAATATGATAAAAAAAAATTGATGGCAGAAACATAATGAATCAAAAAAATTCTTTTTTTAAATAAATTTTTCTTTTGTATTTAAAAAATATGTTTAATAAAATTGTCCAATATTTTCTCTTCTCACACAAATAAAAGCAAAATAATTAATAATTTAATTGTTGTAATAAATTTTTTTTTCACTTTATTGAAATTGGAAAATTAAATGAAATAAGATAAAAGAATTAAATTATCAAATATTGGATTTGGATTTAAAATGGAATAAAAACGGAATTTTTCCTGCAAAAAAAAATAATTATTTGGCAAGTAGAAAAAAATATATATATATATTTTACGACAATTTAAAGTTTTAATGGAATATTTGGCCAATAATTTGGACGTGTTTTATCTTTATGACTGTCAATTGTTGCTTGCAATGCAGTTTCCATTCCTAATATTCTTGGACTTGCTTCGCCATATAAAAGTTTTGCATTCTCAATTTTTTCCTTTAATGAAATTACTTTCATCTGGGGAAATATCTCTTCATCGCGTTCAAGAGCTTCCTCTTTTTCTCGTTGTTCTTTAAGTTCCATTTTATGTTTAATACTTTGTTTTAAAAAATCCATCATACCTTCATTTACTTGAAATTCAAAATTTTCATCATCCGAATGATTTTCATCTTCATTTAATTCATCTTGGTTATTTTGATAATTTTTCTGATTTTCTTGTTTCTGAATATTATCATTTTCATATTGTGATTGTATTTTTGTTGACGTTTGTTGCGTTTCATAATTAGAAAAAGCAGATTGAAATATATTATTTATTTGTTCTGCATTTTGACATTGCATTGTTTGTACTAGTTTTCGAATTGTCTCACGTAAAGTCACATTTTCTGCTTCCAATGCAACACAACGAGATTTCCACCAAACTACATTGTGTCTGTAATTTAATGAACATTCACTAATTAATTTATGTTTTTTTTTTTAATAATTATTTTAAAAAATCAAAAGCAAATAAGAATAAAAATTGCAAACGCATAAACGTTTATAACCTAAAAATTTGATGAAAAATAAAAATAACTTACTTTTGTTGCCAAGCCTGGGCAGTTGTGTAATTTTCCCAAAATGCTTTTGCTTCCATTGATTTTTCAATTTGTTTATTCTTAGATAAATATGCACTTGCAGCAGCTATTAATTTTTGACGTTCTTTAGTTTTAACCTCAAATCTTAGTCCCTCACGATTTAGACGTTTATTTTTTCTCACTTGTCGACGTTTTCTACGATTTCTCAAACGTTTTTTGGAAATAGAAATAGATTCCATTACTTTTGTACAAATTATTTCGAGCAATCATTTACAATTTATAGAAATTTCATTGAAATTTAATAAAAACAGAATATTGTTAACATACAATAACAATGATCTGAAACTCTGCGCATGCGTTGGATGTATTAAAAAAAAGTACTACACGCTCATTGGTCAATTATTTTTGCGAGATTTTTGAAATATTTTTCATTTATTACTTTTATTTTTTGATAGAATATGAGACTTGGATAATAAATAATAAGTCTAATAATATAATAATTATCTAATAATAAATGAGCGGGAATCGGGATGATTTATGTAGATAGGGAACGGTGGAATTAGCGAAACGAACGAACGGAACGTTTCAATAACCCGCGCCAATTCAAATTTGATAGTTATGATAAAAAAAATATTTAATTTAATATAAGGGATTTAATAAGGTCTAATTAATTACTTAAGTAATTTTTATGTAAAATAATTTTAAATAATTAACTTTGTAATAAATTAATAATAAAAATTTTCAATTTTAAAATTAATAATTTTTTTTTTTTAATTTTTTAGCTTTCTAAAAATATATTTACAATTTATTCTATTCTTATCCACAAATTTTTTTAATTTATTTAGTTTTTTTGGCTTAAATAGAATTTATTGTGTGTCAAAAGAATAATTTAAAATCAGGCGCTTTTCTTATCAAAATTCGTTGAAATTCGTAACAATACGTTTCTTGTAAGAAATAAGGCTCATAATAAAAACTGTCAACAACAATCAACAAGCGTATTTTTCATTTCATCAAAATTTTAGTGACCTTTGATATTATTACGAAAATGGATTCATCCTGTTCACTTAAAAGTGATCTTAAAATGTCAGCTCAAAGAAGATTTTTTCAATGGGCTGTAAAATGGTTTTATACTCAAATTGTTGAAGATGTAAGTAAAAAAAAAAAAATTTTTTTCATTTAAATTCTCAAATAGCACACAACAAATAAACATATCCACCATATTAAAATTTTCACCAAAAATTAAATCTAAATTCAAAAATAAAAATTTTTTCAAAAATATACTTTTTCGATGTTTTAAAAGTATAGTTAATGTAAAATAAAAAAAAAGGAGAGTAAATTTTTCTTTTACAATAAGAAAAAAGAAAATTTATGTCAAGGATAATAAAAATTGATGAGAGAAAAAAAAATCAAGAAAGAGTCAATGAAGTATAGAAAGCGAAAATTGGAAATTTAAAAAATACTTTTTGAAAAATTGACAACAATCTTGGAAGATTATTTTATTATCCCAAAGTATGGGATAATAAACAAATCGGAAAATCTGTAATTTCATATCTTTACAGAAATCATAACTTTCATTTTTCATATTTATTATATATATCCCAGGTAACATCAGAAAAAAAATACACGATGACAAATTTCTTTTATAAAAATATGTTTATCCACAAAAAAAAACTCTTTTTTCAAAAATGTTATGTGTTTAAAATTTTTTTTCTAGAACATTAATTATAGTTCTCTATTTTCTAAAAAAAAAAGAAAAGAATATTTTCCATTTTCTATTATTTTGCAAAAAAATATATATTTAATTTTTTTTTTTTGTTTTATATAAAACAAAATATTTTTCGAATAAAAAAATATATAATTTTAATTTGAAAATAATTTTTGTGACTCATAAACGATATTTCGCGACGCTGCGGGGAAATTGTAGAGGTAACTTTTTGAAAGCACTGTACCAGGTACTTTATGGCTCTTTACCTGATTCGACAATGACAAATCTTGGCCAAATCTATAGAATTTCATGTTGGGTCTATAATCCCCAACAGATTTGAAATTATCCAGTTCCCGTATATAACGAATATATTCAGCGTGCAAAATATTGAAAAGTAGTTTGTCGCGACATTGCTGAGGGAAAACATCAATCTCTCTCTCTCTTTCTTTCTTTTTCACGCGCGTAAGAAATGTAAATAAAAATAACAGATAAAAAAAAAAGAAAGATTAAATTATTAATGCAGAAATATATAAAAATGTTATTAGAAATTTTTCGTTTTACTACGAAATATTTTTTACGTAATTTTTGGTATTTATTATGTAACATAAAAAAAAATCCACGAATAATTCTCCCAAGTAAAACAATTTTTCAAATTGAAAGATCAAGTGAACATTTAAATAATTGTAATTTGATAAAGTGTCAAAATCAAAAATGTTTAAAACCAAATTCCCTTTTCGATAATGTCAATGGAAAATTAATAAAAATAAATGAAGCGGTAAGTGCAATTAAAAAAAAAAAAAAAAAAATTAAATACATTTTGAAATTAATTTTTTTATTAAAATTCAAATTATTATTCAATTGTCAATTATTGTTTTAGACTTCACAGAAACCGGACGTTCCAAATTTGGTGATGCTTTTGCAAGCGATTGGCTTTCATCTTCGAGAATTTGAAAAAAAAGATTTAACACAAGACGAAAATGAACCATCAAAAGAAGCAATTAAAGTGACAATAAAATGTGGTACTTCAAAAATGAAAGCAGTTTTAGAAATGGATGGAATTGATTGTCAATGTCCAAATGAAGCTAAAGGAGGTTCATTATGGAGTATATGTGGTCACGCCCCCAACAGTAATGTAAATAATTTTTTTTTTGTTAATTTTACAAAAGCTTTTTCTTTAAAAAAAAGAATGTTAGTTACAAAAAGTAAAAAATTAAATTAAATTCCAGGATAGCATTGGCAGCTCAAAATATGAAGAAACCGGAAGTAATCTTCTTCCAACAATTCCTAAGGGGACGAACAATGTCGTTAGGGATGTTGTCTATCGACTTTTGAAAATGATGAAGGATCCATCACCAATTTCTAGTGCAAAATCTGGTAATGATCTTGATTTGTATGCAGTTGGAAATGTTGAAAATACACCGGAATTAAATAAATCAGTGAATCATGAAGGTCTCAGTCGTAGTCATACTCAACCAAATTTTTCAACTATTCTCAGTCATCCCCTCAATAACAACAAATTATTGCCAACCAAGGTATTTTATTGCAAATTTCTTAATTTCATTAAAAAGAATTATCAATTTTCAATCGAAAATAATTTTTTTTTTTTGTTCTTTTAGAATACGTTTAATTCAAAATTAAACGAAAGTGAGACAAAATTATCCGAAGACAATGACAATGAATTTAATACAATAAGAAAATCTTTGAAGAGGCAAAAAACTTGGGATATGGAATTAGAATCGACATCACCAAAAATCACAAGTTCACCAACTTCTGTTGATCATATGTGTAATTCTTTAGAACAAATCTCCCTAAGAAGTGAAGATGATTCCGGAGGATTAATTGATTATGTTTTGAGAGCTTACAATAATTTAGATAAAGCCGTTTTTCTTCTAACAAAAAAAGCTCCCGTCACATCTTCAACTCTATCTTTAAATGGTAATGATTTATTAATTTTTTTTTGATAATAAAATTAATTTCTAAATTAATTCAAAGAGTGAATTAATTTTTTCTTAAGTCAAAATTAATAAATAATAAAATTAATAACTTACAGATCATAGTTTTGTGAAACCAACACCACCTCCGGCTAAAAGTATTGCAAATTCTTCAATAAGTTCCAAAGCGAGTTCACGATTAGGATCTATTTCTTCAGTGCCAAATCGAAGAAGTATCTCATCACCATTAACACGAAAATTAACTGACAAATCGTCGATGATAAAAAATGAAATCACAAAAACTCCATCACGTCGACAAAGCACTCCCTTAGTGTCTTCAATACCGCAAAAAGCAATTCCCTCCAGATTATCAATACCAAGGAGTCGATCGTCATCAATTTCTGCAATTAATTCACCTTCTGTTAATAATAATAATAATAATAATGACAAACTTTTTTTAACAAAAACTTACACACCACCTTTAACAAGAAAAACAAATATCTTAGCTGTAAGGAAATCAAATTTGGCTGTCGATACTTCACTTCAGTCTAATTCTTCAATTAAATCAAATACATCATTACGATCAAATACTTCATTGAGATCCAATACATTATCGAAGTCAACTTTAATCAAGACGCCAACCACCGTCTCAAAATTAACACCACCAACTTCAATTGCCACAAAAAATAGATTTGGATTTTCTAAAAATTAAATAAAAAATTTAATTTAAAAAAATATAAGCAAAAAATGACTGACAATAATTGTTTTGGATAAATTGAAACATTTGTGAAATTGTTTTTTTTGTCGTGTGCCTTATAAAATAAGATAAAAAAAAAAAATGTGCAGTCTTTCTATTTTAATTAAAAAACTGATGATAAATTGATATTTGTTAAACTTCAAGATAATAATAAGATTGCAATGAAAATACATGAAATATTTAAATTGTTGTATGCATATTATGTACAGTATTATTTATTAAAAGAATTACATTATTGTGAAAATATTTTCTATATTAAATATTATACATTAAATGAACGATTAGAATTTAAATTATGTTAATTAGGTTATGTAATTCTAATATAGCTTGGTTTTTCATAAAATTTGTGGTTAATAATTATTACCCTTTATTTTCCATGAAAAAAAATTTTTTTTTTTATAGGTTAGAATTGGGAAAAATATTTAAATTAGTCGTCATTTCTTATCAAGGGTAGTTTTTAATAATTTAAAATTTGCATTTAAATTTATATATATATATATAATAAAAAACAGTAAACTTACGTGAAAGTTGTTTATCAAATACCCCGTTACAATAGGAAATTCACTTCCTCTTCAACTATACCCCCATAAAAACTGTTTTATTTATAAAATGGCCTTTAAATAAAAATGTTTTTAATGTACATATTAATTAAATGTACATTATCAGGTCACTTTCTAAATAAAATGCGAGCCCGCATAATTTCAATTCAAATGAAGTTCTAATTCATTTTTACAGTCTTTCGCTAATTCTAGACTGGAAAACATGGCTTTGTTACAAGCTATTTACATAGTCGTGTTTGTTTTTCATAATTGTGAGTAATAAACATAGATACTTTAAATAAAAAATAATTTTCTTTTACATTTTTTCAATTATAAAAAAGACACACACTTCAATTTATTTTGATTAAACATATATATATATATATATTTTAATTAAATTTGTGTATTATTTTCAGTTATTTATTGCTCAAGAATACCTTTTATTTTGACGGCAAGAGATTCATTAACAACTGATGCAACAAAATCATTGGAAATTGTTACACCTGTCAGCGATGTAATTCACGAAGAAGCAATATCAACGCAACGGACACTATTTCCATTTGAATTTAATTCAAATCCAACAGATAGAACACATTTTCCAACTGAAATACCAATATTATTAAATGAAAAAATGTCAACACCTTCAAGTAATATAAAAAATAAAACAATCATAGAAACGATTACAAGTAAATTTGGACAAAGATTACCAAAATTTATTGGCAGACTAGCTTTTTTAGCTGGACTTCGATTGGCCGATGAAATGTCAAATGAAGCATCATCTTTTAATAATAGTAGCGCTAAAGAAAATTTAAATCCACTATCATTAAATTTAACACCAACAAAATTGAGTCCATATTTTGCCGCTATTTATGAGCCATTTCCAATTCTTTCACAATCTATTTATTATAATTTACTGGTTCCACTTTTGAATGCAATGAATTCACAAAAAATCACGAATGAAAATATTTCAAATTCTCCACAAATTATTTCATCTAATGAACATGAGAATCCCACTATTGAAGAGAAAATTATTGAAAATGTCACATTGGAGAAGAAACAGGTAATTTTTTTTCATTTCAAATTTTAATTAAAAATACATTAAATTAAATCGATTTATTAATATATTCAAATAATTGCAGAGAACTTCAATTTCTGATAAAATGAAAGAAAATATAACTTTAGAATTGTTGGAGGAAGAAAATGATGATAATGATGATGATGAAAATGAAGATTATGAAAATACAGAAGAGAATGAAGAAAATTTTGATTCCGAGGAATCGAATGTAGATGTATTTGTTCCAACATCAAGAGCACCACCGTTAAAAATAAATAAATCATCACCACCAATAAAATCATTAAGACAAAAACGTCCGCGTACTACTAAAAAACCAAAAATGAAAAAACCAACAACAACAACAATGATTCCAATAATGGATAATATGACAACAACTAATTTAAATAATTCAACAAATATTGACAATACAACACAACTTCCTATTCAAAATAATACCGGATATCCTTTTAATCCTGGATATTATGGAGGATATTCACAAAATATTCATGATTTATATATAACAAGTAGCGAAAATCCTCAATTACATGAACATTATAATTATAATGAAATTAATTCTCATTATTCTGATGAATGGCCAATTAATAATAGAATTCCTCATGAATCACATGTTTTTAATCAATATCCACCGTTTTATGATTTTCCACCGCCTGGTGAAGAAGAATACAGTGATCACCATTCATTTCGAGGTTCTCCCATTTTACAACATCCATCGCCGCCAAATTCAATAAATAATGGATTCAAACCGAGTGTTCCTTTTTGAATTCATCAAATATTTAATTTAGAAAATTTATTTTACATTATTAAATTTAAATCATTTTAATTTTTGAATAAAATTTTCTCTATTTTAAATACTAATAATAATTTTACAGGTTTAAGGTTTTTCTGCGTTATTAAATAAAAAAATTGTTTTTCAATAATAATGGGAAGGAATACTTAATAAGTCTTTTTTTATTTTATATTAAATTAAATATCTGAATATTTATTTTATTTACACTTACTTAAGTACTTTGTTAATAATTGTACATTAAAAATACTTTTTACAAATAATTTGTTTCATTTTTTTTTAATTTAAATCACAATTTTAATTAGGAATATAATTATTTTAAATTTTTCAAATTTTTTGTAGAATTTACAAAAAAAAAAATTAAACATTTTTCCGCGAAATTATATCCTTTGTAATGTCATTAATTTGCTCTAGCATTATTAAATGTTCGGGATCACATTCCCATTGTCCCTGAAACCAATTTCTAAATTCCTGAAATTTTTGATAAGCATCATTAGCTTCAATTTGAAGATCGAGTGGATCATTTTCTTGCTTTGGAACATCTTCAAATTCCATTTCTAAATTATCTGTTGACATCTCTTCAAATTCTGTTTTAATGCCTTGAATACTGAGAAATCAAATTACAATATTAATATAACAAATGTTGAAAATGGGAAATTTTTTTTTTTTTTTTATTTATCGAAACTTACCTCTCGACAATTTGTTCAAGATTTAAAAGTTTCCAACCAGGTTCATGGCTATCAATTTGAAGCCACGTGTCAACTTCCTCATTTGTGATATTTTGAAAAATTGATAGTCTTTGAAGAATTTCTTTGATATCATTAACAGTTATTTGAGAACTTTTATTATTACAAATTGGTATCAATTTCCTCCATGATTGATAAATATGTAAATCACTTACTTCCGACCAGGCTGAAGCAATTTTTATACAACACGTTTTAATATCCATTTTCTTAACTGATTTCAATAAACTCGATTCATTATTATCAAAAAGCATCTCTCTCAAAAAGCTTCTTCTATAAAATTTTTTCATCTCATCAAAAATTCCTTGATTCATTGGCTGAAGAAAAATTCCATTTGGAGAAAGAAATTCCACCTGAAATAAAATAATTTATGTAAAGAAAATTTTTTTTTGATATAAAAAATATATTTTCAAATACATACACTACACAAATCGTCGACTGCATCTAATTCACATTTCGATAAATGGCATGGCGCATTATCTAAAATTAACAAAACATTGTATGATCTTCCTGATTCAGCTTGAAATTTACGAATTGAATGTAAAAATACTTCAATGTACCATTTAATAAAAAGTTGACGAGTCATAAATTCATCTTCTTTACTATTATAAACAACAGGTAATCGATTTACATTTTGAATATTTTTATTTCCAATAACAAAAAGAGGAATTTTATGACTACCATCGGCATTTGCACAAACCATGACTGTAATTTTCTCTTTCTTTAATTCCATTATTGATGAATTCTTTTCAAATTTTTCAACAGTCATTGGTAATGCTTTCCACAAAAGACTTGTTTCATCTGCATTATAAATTTGATACAATTGAAAATTTTTTAATTTCATTATTGAATCTAATTTATCAACAAATTCCATTTTATCATTACTATTAATTAATGATTTATTATCTCTAAACCAATGTGAATGAATTTGAAATCGTTTTTTAAATCTTTCTACCCATCCATTGCTTCCTTTAAAATTAGGATCACCATTAACAATGGAATTTATTTTCAATGCTTGTTTCATTAATGCACATCTTGATGGTGCTTGTCCAATTGCTATTTTTTGTATAAACCATTGGTAAAGTGTTTTTTCTAGTAGTGAATTTTTTGTTGTAGGAAGTTTTTTCTTTAATTTGAGATGTGACATTTTTTCATTTTCTTGTAAATGTTTTTCATAAAATTCACGACGATAGGTTTTAATTCGACGAATTGTTGTTTCTGAAACATGATATTTCCTACTAAGTTTTGAACAATTGGTCTTTATACCATTTTTCTCATTAGTTTGAAGAATTTCAAGTATCTCTAATTTTGTGCCCAAATCCAATAATTCATATTTCTTATTTCCTTTATCCATTTTCTCTAAATATAAAAAAAAAATCATTTATAAAATTTCAAATTAGCATAAGAGAATGAAAAAAGTAGTTAGTTACCTTATTGCTTTCCTTCAATAACACAAATTTTTCAAGTTTTTGACATAAATAATTAATTAATTAATAATACTTGTCAGTGTTATACATTTCGTAATGATTACATGACATTCACAATAATATTTTACGTATTTTCTTGTTTATTTACAATTTAGACTTGTCGTCACTAACTTTTGAGGTTATGTTAGAAACCATGATTGCCAACGACGCCGCAACGATTAAGTTACAGAAATAAACAATTTGTTTATATATACTTTTAAAATGAGTTCAAGTGGAATAAAATACATGAAAAAACCGTAAGTTTTTAATTTTTAAATTCTTTCAATATTTACTATTAATGAAAATGATAATTTTAATTTAATTATTTAATTTTTTGTAATTTTAATCGTTTGTTTACATAACCTCTCGAATTCAAAGCTGTTTTTTAATTTACATCTTGTTAGGAACTGAGAAAAATAGATTATAATTAAATTTTTGTTAATTTAAATAATTATTTTCATTAATTCGCCGTAGTAAAGAAACTTGACATTAAAATAGTCAATTTCTTTAATTTGTAATTATCATACAATGGTTTGCAATATATTTTTAATTTGGTTTTCAATTATATCAATATTAAAATTATTACTATTAAATATTAATAATTATTTTATAGAAATCCTTATCCACAAGGAATGAGATGTCAAAAATGTTTAGAAATGGGTCACTGGAGTTATGAATGTAAAGGAAAACGAAAATACGTTCATAGATCGTCAAGAACAACTCTCCTACGTAAACGTTTGCAAACTAAAAAAACAATTGTGTAAGTATATATATATATTTTTTTTTTTAAATTATAATTATAATTTTTAAAATATATTTACGATTGTTTTCCTCTTCAGTGAAACAGAAACTGTATTAATAAAAGAGGAAAAAATTAAGAAGAGTAAAAAAAGGAAGGATTCAATTAGTTCTTCAAGTAATTCAGAAAGTTCATCTACTTCAAGTAGTGATAGTTCATCGGATTCGGATTCAAGTGACAGTGATTCAAGTACAAGTAGTAGTAGCAGTAGCAGCAGTAGTAGTTCCTCTTCGTCTAATACAAGCAGTAGTAGTAATTAAAGTTACATTTCTATTAAAGTATCTCGCAAGAAAAAAAAACGATAATAATTTAAGAAATTTTCTTTTTTATTCAATGAGGAAAAATTTTGTAATTTAAGTAAATGATTTTTTATAATTGTACATTCGTTTTTTTTTTTTAAATAAAAAAGAAATCTATTTTTCATGATCGAATTACTTTTACTACATTTTTTTACATTCTGATTAGTTTTTTTTTCGACTATAAAACAATAATTAATAATAAATATGATTTAATTTCATGTTGAAAGAGTAAAAAAAATTGAGTTTTTCTTAGAAAAATATGTAATTCCTTTTTTTTAAAAAAAAGGATTAGTCACAATCAATGGCGGGAAGAATATTAATAATTACTTTTCGTTTTGGTTCGTATGTGAAATGATTCATTTTGAAAATATCGCTTTCATAGAATGATGAGAGATTGTGAATGTTTATTTGCCTCGCCTAAAATAGAAAAAAAAAGTTTTTCATTTTACAAAGAAAAAAAAATTATAAATTAATATTGAATTTAAAAAATAGAATTTTACCCGATCTTGAAGTTCCTTTTCTGATACTTCAATTGTAGTGACGCGACTTCCATGCATTGCACGTTGGAAAGCAAGATGATCGTGAGTAATTCCCCTCAGAATGTGATACAAAAGATCACTATGATCTTCATTGTAATTAAGATCAGCTTTAAACGTCTAAAAAAAAAATATTTCTTTTTATAATTTTTCATTCAATTTTCTCTAAAATAAAAACATAATTTTATTATACACACCTGCATCATACTCTTCATTACAGAATATTTCTGCGTCTCAACGAAACTTTGCAGAACCATTTTAATAGCAACATTAACATCCTCCTCGCGAATATAATCTCGTAATTGAATTTTTGCACTTGCCTCTGACATTCTTATAATTGCCTCAATATGTCGGACAGTAATTGGAAGACTTCCTGTCGCCTTTAAAATAATTGAAATTTATTAATAATAATAATAATATTAATAAAGTAGTGATATTACAATAAAAAGAAAATTACCAAACTTTCTTGACGAAGTTGATTATACTTTTTGGCAATTTTATCATTATCAATATTCGTTAATTTTGGATGGACATTTTGTTTTGCATAAACGATATATTTTTTCAAAAGGTCCTGTGGTATTGGCAAATCAGAGGTGGGAGTTTGTAAATCAAGTACTTCGGAGTCGTCGGAATAATTTGGATGATGCTTAATATGTGAATTGACAACAAATTTTGCTAATCTCTCATCGTCATTTGTGTCCTTCTCATCTTTTACAATACACAAAATATCAAAACGCGAAAGAATTGGATCTGATAAATTTACCTGGAAAAAAAGAGAGAGAATAAATGATTTGTTTTCTTTAGAATAATAAAATATTAAAATAAATATTTACATTTTCTGAGAATGTCATACTGGGATCGTATCTTCCGCCAATGGGATTTGCAGCTGCAATTACTGAACATCGAGCTTGAAGTGATGTCACGATACCGGCTTTCGAAATAGAAATTGTCTGCTGTTCCATGGCTTCGTGAATTGATGTTCTATCTTGATCGTTCATCTAAATAAATAAAAAAAAAAGAAAATTAAAATTTGTTTCTTTAATTAGAATACTTTTTTTAATTAAAAATTATTACTTTATCGAACTCGTCAATGAGACAAACTCCCGTATCGGCTAGAACTAAAGCTCCAGCTTCCAATGTCCATTCTCTTGTTTGCGGTGAACGTCTCACATAAGCAGTAAGACCAACGGCCGATGCACCTTGACCTGTTGTAAAAATTGCTCTCGGTGCTATTTTTTCTGTATATTTTAAAAATTGAGATTTTGCCGTTCCAGGATCACCACAAATTAGAACGTTAATATCTCCTCTCACCTTGTGTTTTTTTCCTAAAGAAAAAAAGTAAAAAATTTGGTATTTGTTTAATTTTCCTTTTTTTCATCTTCTTACCTGGATTTTTCGAAACACCGCCAAAAATTGCCATTGCCAATGCCTGTTTTATAAATTTGTGTCCATAAATTGATGGCGCCATACTTGCAACAATTCGATCGGTAATTCTTGGATCTTTACTCAATTCTCTAATACTATTTATATCTTCCTCCGTCAATGAGGCAACAATATCCTTTGAATCTTTCACATGAAGATGATTTGCAAGAAGAACTGTGGAAAATATCGGAAAACCCTGTAACGAACAAAAAAAAAATGAAAATAGCCCATTTTTTTCACATTAAAAATGTAATAAACAATTTTTAAAAAAATTTTTTCCCAATTACTAACTTCATTTGTATTTAAAGAGCCATCGTAATTATTTGTATAAATTCCAGTAACATCAATTTCATCACCGGGTTTACAACGATCGCATAAATCCGATAATAAAATACAATCTTTACTACGCGGTATTCGTCCCGCGGGAATTCTTCCCGGTGATTCTTGAACTGTTATCTTTTGATAATTACGATACAATGTTTGTTCCATATTAATCTAAAATGAAAATAATTAATAAATAAAGTAAATTTAAATTAATAAAAAGAAATTATTTACCATAAATGGTCCAGTACTCTGACACTGTGGACATGATCCAGGTTTAAATTCAGTGCTTTGCGATTGTACAAAAGGTCCCAAAACGCAAGCACATTTATTACAATCAAATTTCACAACTGATAATTGTGGCAATACACCTGTCGTTGCTGTTACAACTCCAAGAGTTCTTACCAATTGATTTACATGCAATTTTCTAAAAAACAAAAAGAAATCCAAAGTAAAAATTTGGAAAATTTATTTTTTAAAAATTTGTCAATTACCTGAAAGTTCGTAATTCTTCAATTAAAGGCAATTCGGAAATTCTTACATGAATTTCACTTGTAACACGTTCGTAACTTGGGAAAATTGTCAATACCAATTCTTTTGCAACCTCATCAAAAATCTCCAACATTTTAAATGGAGCTTCAGGTAAGAAATAAGCTAAAATATGTTCCTTACTCGCGAGAATTGGAAATTCAACGATAAAACTCGACTAAATAGGAGAAAAAAAGAATTAAATTTCAAAAAATAAAATATAAAATACTTTTTTTTGTTTTTAAATTACCTGATTGCTTTCGCACATTTGTCGAATTCTCTCCTTATACATATGTTGTCCCTTCGAATTTGTATGTGTTCTCAAAAAATTTTTAAATCGATTTGCAATTTCAGTGCGTGGTCCCAACATTGATACCCATTCTTTCACCGAATGGCCTTTCGTGTCTTCTAAATTTTCAATTGACTCGACCATCTAAAATTTATTACAATTAATTCTCTGTTATATATATATAAACATTTTATCTTTACCTCCGCATCTTCGAGTTCTCCAGCGGCTGCTTTTTCGGCCATTCGTCTCTTATGTGATGGCATTAATTCATCATCACTTTCCTCTGAATTAAAAAAAAAAATAAACAATTCAAAAAAAAGAACAATCATTTTTCATTTAAAAAAAAACAAAAATTATACCATAAAATAAATCTCTGTCATCTCTTATAATTCCAGCGGCACGATCTCGTTTTTTCATCTCATCTTCAGCGGCTGCTCGATCTCCTTGTGATATTTCGGAATAATCATCATCGTCCATGAGATTCGGATCATAACGATCGAGAGCCGACATAGGTCGATAATCGCTATTAAAGAAAACAGAAAAGAGAATTTAAAAAAAAAAACAACTAAAAAGTCTCAAAAATATAAATTTTTTTTTAAAATAAAAACTTACGCTTCCATATTATCGCCAAACAATTCTTCTCCCTCTTCATCTTCTTCATTTGGAATATCATTTTCATCTCCCAATAAATCACTTTCATCTGGAAAAGGTTCATCAATATCGGGAGCTGGTGATGTTAAAGCATCTCGATAACGATCTGAACGAATTGGCGAACTTGGTTGACTCTAGAAAATTTGTGAAAATTTATTTATAATTAAAAACACAATTATATATATATATATTTACAGCTCTGCGTGACAAAACGTAAACAAACATTTTACAATCATCTTCGTAAAATAAACAATTAAATTAAAAGATTTTAATAAATTAAGGACAATTAACAAAAATAAAATTTTTTTAAAGTACATTTTTATAAATTTAAATGATATCAAACAAATTTTTCATGACAGAAATAATACAAAAAAAATACCACTTACCATAGTGAAAAATTAAAAATTCACCACAATATTTTGTAAAACGTATATAAAAATTTGTAAAGCACTCAATTATTATTGAATTTGTTAATTAATACAAATTTGTTTCTTAAAAATAAATGCAATAATCACAGCACACGTTTTTTGTTCGGCATTTAACGGCACACAACAAACACATACAATAGCAACAAGTGAAACAGAGACATTTTTGGCGGGAGTTCTTGAAAACTCGCCTTAAGTAATGCTATTTCTCAAGCCAATCAGAAGTCACTTCATTTAGAAAAGCACCTTTATGCATTTTGTCCACGCGGTATTATTAAAACAAATTTAAAAAAATAGAAAATAAATTAAATTATATAAGAATGGATGAACTTTCAAAAGAATATGCGGTATTATTTGTTGAATTACAAGGAAAAAAAGATTTAGTAAAATCTAATAAGGAAAAAATTGAAGAATTAAAAAAAATTTTAAACAACGAAAAAACAGAAATTGTAAATAATTATAATTATTTTCTCTAAATTGTTATTGTAATAAAAGAAAATTTTTCCCTCCAGGTCAAATTAAAAGAAAAGGAGTACAAACTTCAGAAAGATTATTGCAACATTGTTTGGAATTTTTCAAAAAAACACGATTTTGGAAATTTATTTCTCAATTATCCTAGACAAAAAATTCCTTCACCTTGTAATTGTGAATTTTTTCATGAAACTGAAGAAAAAATAGAAAAAGGTATTTTTATTTACATTAATTTGTTAAAATTTTTTTTTTATTTTTACTGTAAATTATATTTTTTCTTTTATTTATTATAAGAGATTCAAGAAAATGAAGAAATTCAAAAATTAACTTCTGAAATCATTGAATTGAAATTGGAACTTGAGAATTTAGAAAAAGAAGAAAAAGCAAAAACTATTTCCAATAATTTATCTTTTGATAATAATATTGAGATGGAAAGGTAAATTATTAAATTTAATAAATTAAAAACTATTATCAAATTTTACTTTATTAAATTAAAATTAAATTCAAATTATTTGAAATTATTTGAAATTATTTTCATATTCAGTTTCAGAGTAGATAAAATTTTTCAAAATTCTCAACAAAATTTAAAATTTATTCCAAAGATCAAAACTAACAATTATCAACAAAATGATGATATTTCAAGGAAATATGAAAAAATAAATTCAACATATAAAATAAAAACCGAAATAAAAGAAAAAAATTATCAAATACCTATTAAAAAATTGAAACTTACAAATGAATTTTCAAAAAAAATTCCATTATTAAATTGTCCAAATACAATAGACAATTATTTAATTGTAAAAAGAAAATCAAATGACGATAAAAAACATGAAATGAAAAATGAAGAATTAATAACAAAATTTCAATCATCAAATTATGAACAAAAATCTAAAATACTGACATCATGGTCTCAAAATTCCAACGTTTCTTTCATCAACAATTCTATTCAAAATGATTTTCTTTTTAAAAAAGAAACCGATGAATCCACATCAACTGAAACAATAACAAAATCATACGTAAGAATTTTTTTTTTTAATTTCAAAATTATCAAAAACTAAATTAATATCTCAACAATTATTATTGACGGAAAAATTTAATTTCAATTTCTATTATATTTAAATTTGAATATAAAATTTAAATTTCAATTATAATATATAATTTTACAGATATCAATAGAGAAATCAAAAGGTTTCATACCAAAAAAACAAAGTTCAATTGCAGAGAAATTTTCGAAAAAAAAAACTGAATAAAGTATTTATAAATATTTTTCTAAAAGAAAGACAAAACGATACAGTACATTTTTGTATATTTAGAAATATTTATATACGTTCATCTATATTAAGTATAATATACACTGAAATACATTAATATTACATATTATTTCTTTTTTTTTTTTTTTTTTTTTTAATTGTACACGTAATATTACGATTTTTTTTTCAACAAGTTCACGATACGAGAATAGTTGACTATTCAGCTTTATTTAATTATTTTTTTTAATTAATATTCACGTAAAGTCCACTCTCAGAACGTGCAATTTATATAGGACGTCTATGGCATTTTAAAACTGTTTAACAGTTTGCTTTAACAAATTAATATTACACTTTTTCTTTTAACTTTCAATCATTTTTTTTTTCTCTTATTTTTTTCTTCTTTTTATTATATACGGAAAGCAATAATTTTTTTTTAAAGTTATATCTATGACGTTTATAATAGTAAATGCCTTTACTGAGAGAAATTATTTTTTTTTTTTCAATTAAATTTTATCAAAATATTATTCAAGTTTTAGGGAAAATTGTTTATTTTCACCGAAAATTTTTTAAATATTTCATTAAAATTTTTTTCTATTATAATAAATTTATTTCATTGTATTTATAAACACAATAAAGTATTTTTTTTTCTCTTTTCATATCTCACTCTTGTTCTTTTTGTTTCTTTTTTTTTTTTTTTTTAATCTTACAATAATTTTTTTTATTTCAAATATCTATCTAATGATAATCTACAAGAACTTTTGTGGATGGTTAAAAGTATTTTTGCCCTGAGGTATGATACGAAAGATACTAGTTTAGAGGCAAGTCTTAAGAAAAAAATCTATGAAAATGAAATAATTCCAAGTGTTATCGAAGATTGTTTTTCAAATCTATATTATTTTTAAAATTAAAATTTCGATTGCACTCGTATGTGAATAAAACAAGTTTTTCTTTTTTTTTTTTTTACTTTTTGACAATAATTAACTAATCTTGAATCTTCTAATTATCTCGAATTCACTATCAGATAAAATACTTGTATTTATATTTTTTTTTATATTATATATATATAAAAGAATATTTTCTGTTACGTTCGCGTAAACTTCTGTTTTTCTTACAAACTACACGAGTTACACTCAAAATGCTTTTTAACCATTTCGAACAACTTATTTATTATTATAAAATCAATGAGAATTTTTTCTCATCTTTTAACAAATTAAAGACATATATTTCTTTTTTTTACAAAAGTTCTTGCAGCGCCAATCTCTCTCTCTCTCTCACATTATTCAATATAACCATAGGATGTGAAAAACAATTGAATTTTAAATTTCAGTTTTAAATTCACATTTCTTTTTTTTTGAGTAAATTTTAAATATTAAATTATATAAACATTTTTTTAAAATTTAATTTAAAAATAAAAAAATATAACGATATTTATTTTAAACAAAAATGTAGAATTTATTTTTAAAAAATAAAATAACGTTCCAAATCAAAGGATTAATAATAAAATTACAATTGTTCTTTCCATCCAGGTAATTTTCAATGTAATTTCACATATCTTGGAAGGCAAAACTCTTATGTTTCTGTTTTTTTTTAAAATCACAATTGTCAATTGTCGAATAACATATAGAAAAATGATTTTCATTATATAATAATAAAATATCTCTTTTCTGACTTTATCCATGTTTCTATTTTTTATTTTTCTTTTTTCATCTCTGACACAGTGATTTTTATTATTTTATGCTTTTTCACAAAAACTGACATCTTGCTTCATATCTTTAATTATCATTAATGTTATATTAAATATAAAATTTCGATCACATTCATTGAAATAACAGATTGGCTATCTTCAATATTACATCTATCTCGTATAACGATAGTATTACAAAACTATAAATATTTTTACATACATTTTGTAAATATAGATTTTTTTTTTATTTAAAAACTGGATACATCTTAACGTGTGGAAATTAATCAATATTTCTCAAATTTTGAAGTTTCATATTAAAAGAAATATTTCTCCCTTACTTGAATTATTATTTTTTAAAAAAAAGTAATTTTAAATAATTATTTTGAAAATTGATTTTAATTTATTTAGATTTAAATAAAATATATATTCATTTTTATAATTATTTTTATATTAATAAAATTAAAAAAAAAAATTTGGTTAAAAAAATTTACCTTTATCTGAACATTCAAAATTTCAGGAATATGGATTAATAATACAATTAAGTCAGATTTTAATAAAAAATACTTTTGAGACAATAATCCGGAGTTGCTCTTAAAGTTCTCAATATTTACGAAGTCGTGATTCAAAAATAATCATAATTCAATTTATCATTTATAATCTCTCAACCTGTTTTCTAGAAATATTTTTTTTGAAATAATTTAAAAAATATTTTTTCAATTTTAATATTAACGTATTTAATTAAATTCATTTGAAATTTATAATTTTTTATATTTAAAAAAATTTTTTATTTAAAAGAAAATTTTCCTTCGCTTCGCTTATTTAGAACTTTTTGAATATTAATCAGTAGTTGAACTCGAGTAACATTTACAAAGATTCAATGAAAAAAAAAAAAAAAAATTGGCGAATCTTGTTGGATTAAAAATTCGTTGAAATCGATTTTTATTTACAAACATTTTTCTTTACATGAATTTTCGAATAATTAAACAAATTTTATATTTTAAGGTCAATAGTTTTAAATAAAAAAGAAAAATTTACATTTTTTTTTCAACAAAAAGTTTTTTTTTAACAATGAACCAACAAGAATCTCCTATTTTTCCCTCCTTTATGACCGATACGTAAATACAGAGTTTTTTTTTATAATTATTTTCATAAACTCTTATCAGAAAAAATCTAAAAGTCAATCTTTGACATAGACAATTTTTTTTCTACGAAAAAATCGAATTGTTTTAAAAATTCAATAGAATTTGAGTATAATAATTGATATTTTACTCAAAAATTCTCTTTTTTATTAATAAATATCAAAATGTATGATGAAAGTAGATCTTTAGAAAAAAAGAAAATATATTTAAAAGAAGAAAAATGATTTTTCAAGTGAAGAGATTTTTTTCTAATGTAAAAATAAATATTTTCGAATAAAAGTAATGTGAAATTTTCTTGTGATATAAATTGAAGAAAAAAAAATGGCACAGTTTTGCTTAAGGCTGATTTATTTTTGAGCTTATATTTTAAATCAATAATAGTGAATAGTTTCATAAGAGATCGTGTAATGAAAAATTATAAATTTGATGAAATAGATTTCTATCTATATCGATAATTTTTTTTTCTTTTTAAGATAAAAAAAAATCAACATTACAACATTGGCACTTATTCCTTTTATGCGCTGAGAACAATTAAATTAAATTAAATGTTTTAATAAAACGTACAAAGTACTCTGCAATAATAATATTGCAAAAGTAGTGACAACAAACATGTAAACGAACAACATCGAGTTAAATGAAACTCAATTGACATTTATTTTATATATTATTATATATATATAAAAAACAGTAATCACTTTTATTATTTTTCACAAATTTCTTGCAAAACAAAAAAATTTGAAATTTATTTACTGTAATTTTTAATTAATCTTCGTATTTTTTTTTTTTTGCAAATTAATTTTCAATTATTCTTTGCAATTTATTTTCAAAATTATATAGTATTCTTTTTATTTTCATCTATAGAATTAAATTTTCATTCATTCTTAGTTTTATCAATTCAAATCCTATAATTTGAAAGCTTTTAAAGCTTTTTGTTTTTTTATAATTATATTAATGAATTTATTTCAGGCGGAGTATTATTGATCAATTTTTTCAATTAGAAAAATAGAAGTTTCTTTTTCTAATTTTCAAAAATTGTTTTACGGTAATTTTTTAACGAAAAATTTCTCAAAACTGTTTAATATTTAGATAATTATTTTAATTTGCATTTTTATTTTTATATCATAAATTCCCGTTTTGTGAATTTTGCAACGTTTAAATATTTATTTTTTTTACTAATGATTTAAAAAAAGTGTATTAAAAGAATTAATAAAAACTATTTTCTAACTAATGATAAAATTCCTAATTTTTTTTTGAAAATAGGAAATAAATTTTATTTTATTTTAAAAACGTTGCGAATTTTATTTAAAAAATTTTTAAGTCAAGACAAATTTTGAAAGAACCACACACGTTTCGGGGGGAGGGGGAAAGTGATTTTGAATATTTTGGAAGACCGTGAAAAATTCGATGACAAAATTTTTACATTTAATTTAAAAAATTTAGAATTAAAAATACTTTTGTATCTCTTATTAAAAATGATACTAAAAAGAGAGAGAAATTAAAAATAAAAAAAAAAAGGAAAATATACAATTAGCTTACTTGATCCTGTTACATAGATCGATAAGGACCTTGCATTTTTAAAAATTGAATAACAAGCGATGGTCCATTGGCAACAATATCCGCTGGTATTTGAGAGAGTGGACAATTTTCAATTGACATAATACTGAGATTTGTGCAAAGCGCCAATTCAAATGGTAAATTATGTAAATTCACATTATCATTGACATAAAGTGATTCGAGATTTTCAAGTGTTCCAATTTCCTCTGGTAAATAATTTAAATTATTTTCACCAACACTGAGATGCGTTAAATTTGTCAAATGACCAATTGCCCTTGGCAATGATGTCACTTGATTTGATTGTAATATTAATTTTTGTAATTCCCTTAAAAAGCCAATTTCATTTGGTAATGTTTCAATTTTATTCTCCTCAAGATCAAGTACACGTAATTTATTTAAATTTGCAATACTCGCTGGTATTCGTTTTAATAAATTATTTGATAATATGAGAATTTCCAAATTTTGCAAATGTTGAATATCATCGGGAATTTTTGTTAATTGATTTGTACCAAGATTTAATTCAACCATATTAATCCATGTACCAATATCAAGTGGCAATGCTGTTAATTGATTTTCTTTCATATTTAATTTTGTTAAATTTTTTGCACGCGAAAATATTCCATATGGTATCTTATCAATTTGATTGTGCTCAAGATTTATTGAATAGACATTTGTAAATTGCGATGGTCCACCCGATGGATATGATGTAAAGGCATTTCTCGATAATGTAATTGTTTTTAAATCCGATAAACTTGAAAGTAAACCATCGGGTAATTGTGAAACTTGATTACCCTCAACACTAAATTCATCCATTGATTTACAATTTGCCAATGATTTTGGAATTCTCGTGAGACGATTGTATCTGGAAAAAAATAAAGATTAGTTTTGTATTTTATAAAATTAAATTAAAAGAAAAAATAAAAATGGTACCTTAATCCAATTCTCGTGACTGACGTGAGATTTCCAATTGTTTCGGGAATATCAAGAAGTTCATTGTGTTGTAAATCAATTGTTGATAATTGTATACAATTGCCAATTTCTTTTGGTAAATGTTCAAGATGATTGTGTGATACATCGAATGTTATTAAATTGACGAGTTTTCCAATGCCTGCTGGTAATTCTTTTATTTTATTTTCCCTTAAACTCAACATTGTTAGATTTATTAAATTTCTTATACGATCGCTAACATAACGAACGCGATTAAAACGTAAAAATAATGTTGTCAACGATGTTAAATTATAAACAACATCGGGAATTTCATTTAATTTATTATGCCTAAGATCAAGGACCTTTAGGGATTTTAAATTCTCGAGACTATTGGGAAGACTCGTTAGTGAATTTTCGTTGAGTGCAAGTATTTTTAAATTGCCAAGGCATCCAATTTCCGATGGTAATGTCACTAATTTATTTCCATAAAGATAAAATTCCACCAAATGCGTTAAATCACGAACTGTTATTGGAAGTTGTGATATACTTGATTTACTTAAATCAAGCCTTGTTACACATTCATCACGACATCTTATAAATTCCTTAGATACGTCCAAGTCAGCCTGTGGAAAATTAAAAAAAAAATAAAAATCTAAAGTAAAATTTTATTCAACAATTTTTACCTGTATGGGTTTGCTTTTTTTGGCAGTTGGTTTTGGTTTATTCGATTCGGGATGTTTAACGGTGACAGTTTTTTTTGTCTCCGAAGTGGACAATGAAGCGGAGGAGAGTTTTTTCTCCTTGGACTGTTGTTGTTGTTGTTGTTCGCGAAATACATCAACTGCCTCAGGCATATTATCGCCTGATGAACAAGTGCTGAGACCACAGCCCTCTAAATATTCGGGGATATCTTGTTCCTTCATGTAAAAATTTGACAGACTCTCACGAGGGTCCCCTTTATCCCTCTTGACGTCTGTAAAACACACTTGCGAAATATTACCCACACCCGTTCGATGTTTACTCGACTTTTTCATAATCTACATATAAAAAAAATATATATATACACACACACGCACGTAAATTTTAATTAATTCACTAGAAAAAAAAAAATACTTTTTTTTTTGGGCCTATTTTCCCCTACGACATGACGACGTTATATTTTTTTAAAGCCCTCGTAGTAGTAGTAGTAGTAGTATTGACATTTAATCGAAAGACGGTTCTCAAAAATTTCAACTAACTTGAAATTACAAATGAAATTTAACGAAACTTTATATGTCACTTGTGAAAGTTACCGTGAATTTTTTTTTATTGAATAAAAATCATTTATTTTATAATTTATTTACTTTTTCTCTCTATTTCATTAGAAGGATAAATCATAAATGATAAATATATCTTTGTTAATTTATTTTTTCCACCAGAAAACGAATGACAGATTGAGGTTAGGTTATAAAACTACTTTACCGATAAAAGAAATATATATATATATATATACGTTTGGGAAAAAATTAACCATATTTCTCTTAAATTTTTGAAAATTAATTAACATTATTATTAAAATTTTATAAATAAAGAATGTTTGAAAAATATATTAAGATTTTTGATTAAAAAATTTAAATTTTGCGGTTAGTGAAATTTTCCGTCATAGAGGGAAAATTTCCTGACTTTTCCGTCTTTTTGTCCTTGGTGAATCGCCATTTTTATTTTCTGCTGTTTTTTTTACGAAAAAAAAAGAAAAGCCAGGAAGGATGGCTGAATATTTGGCATCGATTTTCGGTACCGAAAAGGATAAGTAAGTGATATTTTTATTTTGTTTTAAATAACAATAGTAAATTGTTTTGTAAACAATTTTTAATTGTCAATTTTCCATTTGTTTTTTTCCCCCAGAGTAAATTGTTCCTTTTACTTTAAAATTGGAGCTTGCCGTCATGGCGATCGATGCTCACGAATTCACAACAAACCAACATTCAGTCAGGTAAATTACAATATATTATTAAAATAATTATTATAATTTAGAAACTTTATTGGTTATGTATAATTATATATGGTTTTTTAATCTTTTCTTTCTGTTTTACACAAAATGTGAACATAACCTCAAAATCGAGAAATTGTTTTTTTTTATTTATAAAATAATTAAAAATATAATTTTTGTAGAGTGTGTATTTTATAAGACATTAATTAAAATAAAATATATTTATAGACATGTTTACTGCAAAATTTGTACGTGAATCCACAAAATTCGGCAAAAAGTGCCGATGGTTCTCATTGTAAGTATGCATATTTTATATAATTTAACATTAAAATTATTTTGATATGTTAAATTTTAATTTTTCCTTTTTTAATAGTGGTATCAAATGTTTCTGATGAAGAAATGCAGGAACATTATGACAATTTTTTCGAAGACGTTTTCCTTGAATGCGAAGAAAAATATGGAGAAATTGAGGAAATGAATGTTTGCGATAATCTCGGCGATCATCTCGTTGGTAATGTTTATATCAAATTTCGAAGAGAAGAGGACGCTGAAAAGGCTGTTAATGATTTGAATAATCGTTGGTTTGGTGGACGACCTGTTTATGCAGAACTTTCGCCAGTTACCGATTTTCGAGAAGCTTGTTGCCGTCAATACGAAATGGGGTAAAAGAAATTAATTTCCTTTTTTTAAAAAAAATTATTTCTCTATATTAAATTTATAATAAAATTTAAATTTTCCAGAGAATGCACAAGATCGGGATTCTGTAATTTCATGCACATTAAACCAATTTCAAGGGAATTGCGACGTTATATTTATAGTCGAAAGAAGAGCAGTGGTAGCAGCAAAAGATCACGATCAAGATCAAAATCACGTGGACGCAGTGATCGTAGACGTAGATCTCGTTCTCGAGGTAAATCCAGGTCACGGGAACGTCGTCGATCAGGAAGATATTGAATCTTTTTCTCAAAAAATTTTTTTTTCTTTTAATTAAATTTTGTTTGCCAAATATTTACATTTATATATGATACAAAATCTTTGAAAAAAAGGCAACTTTTTTTTTTATTCTTCACACAATAAATTTTGTTCAATTTTTATAGTGCAAAAAAGAGAAATATATTCTATATTTCCAAAAATTATGAATCATAATATTCACTATGTTTTTCTTGTAGAAAATGCTTTAAAAAAAATAAATTAAATCACACATTCTTGTAGATTTTGTCATAGGAAACTTTTTTTTCATTTAATTTTTATTTTTAAATTATCTTATTCCTTAAAAAAGTTTTATAAATTTTAAACGTCATTTTTGTACTTGAACAATTAGAAAATAATTATCCAAGTTTAACTAAATAACAAAAAAAAAAACAAATTTTACAATTCGTAATAATTAAATAAAAAAATTATTTTTCAGTACTCGAATTTTGAAAAATAAATGTTATAAACTCTGAGACTCGATCCAAGAATAATTCCTGAAAAAAATCATAACTTTGAAAATAGAAACTCTATAAAAAAAAAGAATTATTTTTACCTTGAGAAGCTCTTTGGAAACTGGATGATTATAATGTTTCCAACGAAGAAGTTGATTAATTGTTATTGGTTGCTCAGGATTTGTTTGTATGTCCAATTGACAAACACGAGAATCATCAAGATCAATATCATTTTCTTTGTCTTCATTTTCAACATCTTTATCACATGAACAATCCATTAAATCATGAGTCAAAGAATAAGTGTCTGTAGTTAATGTAAACAAATCCTACAAGTAGAGAAATTGTTTTTTAAATTACAAAATATTTTACGAATTTGAAAAAAGAAAAAAATTAACATACCTTCAATTCACTTGTTGATAATTTTAAAGATGCAAAATGATTTGCATCGACGACAGCTTCACTGAGACTAGTTTTACTTATTTGTCTTTGATAAATTTTTTCCTCTATTGTACCAGTTGTTAAAAGTCTGCAAAAAAATGAAAAACATTTTTTAAATTAACCAAATCGCTATTTAAATTGTATTTTGAAAATAATTTTTTCACCTATAAATATAAACAGATTTCTTTTGTCCATCACGCCAAATTCTTGCCATTGTCTGAGCGTCTGACGCTGGATTCCAATCGGAATCGAATAAAATTAATCGTGACGCTCCTATCAAATTTAAACCAACACCGCCGGCTTTTGCACTTAATAGAAAAACACCTTTAAATAAAAAAAGAGGAAATTTTAATTTCCAAATTTCAAACATTAAAGTAATTTAGTAAAATATTTTTCTCACGTGTCATATTTCCTTTTGAATTAAATTTATCGACTATTTTTGTTCTTCCACTAGTTGCCGTACTACCATCTAAACGACAAAAGGATAAACCTTCTAAATTACAAAGTTTCTCGAGTAAATCAAGTGTTTTTGTGAAATATGAAGCGAGTACTAAATTTTCCGATGTATTTTTCAATTCTCTCAATAATGCACGAACAACATTCATTTTCACTGAATAATCAAATGATTCATAGGATTTTTTCTTAATGAAAAAATCACTTGATTTCAATTCGTCGATTAAATTACTTTTTTCAATTAAAAATAAATTTGGATGATTACATATTTTTTTCAATGCCGTTATTATTGCCAATGGCATGACATTTGTTTTTAATATTTCTTTCTCAATTAAAAGATCAGTTACAGCTGTATAAACATCTTTTTGTTCTGATGTTAATCGACAAAATATCACCAATTCATGTTTTGTTGGTAAATATTTATTGATTAAATCATTTGTTCTACGTAGAATAAAAGTTTTTGTTTTTTCATGAAGTTCCTCAGCTCTTTCCTGACCCAAAGTAATTACCTCATCGGAGGCGTCGGGTTTTTGTGATGCAACTATTGGATTTTCGTAATGTTTTCGAAAAAAATTACTAGTATCGAGAATATCTGGATTTACAAAATCAACAAGTGTATAAAGTTCTTGTAAATCATTTTGAACCGGTGTTCCAGTTAGAAGAATTCTTCGACGGCAGGTTAATTGATTTAGTAACTAAAAAAAAAGATTTTTCTTTAATATTTAATTTGACAAAATAATTTATGAAATTTACCTTCAATGATTTTAATTCACTATTCTTGAGACGATGTCCTTCATCGCATATTAATAAATCAAAGCCAATTTCATTGACTTCTTGAAAATTTCTAACAAACATTTCATAACTAATTATCATCACTGATGCTCTTGGGGATTTTAAAAAATCTTTTGGTTTCTTTTTACCCTCGATGACAAATGGAGAAATTCTATGTATACCCAGCCAACGAATAAATTCATTATTCCAATTTCCACATAAACTACTTGGAGCAACAATTAGAACACGTTTTAATATTGGCTTTCCATAAGGACCTTGTTTTAATAGAGTCCATGTTAAAGCAACGCATTGTAATGTTTTACCAAGACCCATTTCATCAGCTAAAATTGAACCAAAATAATTTGCATCATTCATACCCATAATACATTTATATAAAAATACAAGACCAAAACGTTGATGTGGTCTCAATACTATTGCTAAACAAGCATCAAGTGATACATCACGAATTTGAATATTTTCATCGGTCCAATTTAATTCCTCATTTGGACGTGGCATTATTAGAGGTTCATAATTTTGTAATATACCACCAAGACCTTTGCCTAAAAAAACAAAAATAATATCAATATTATTAATTTAAACTAAAATTTTCTATTTATTTAAATAATTAAAAAAAAAAAAATTCATTTTGAAAAACCTGTTTTATTGAGTGGAATGAATTTATTATTTGTTTTCAATTTTTTTAAAGGTGGTTCTAAAATTTCATCCTTCTTCTCAAATTGCTTTGGATTATTCAATTGGGAGATGACTTTGTCAATAATCTAGAAATAAACGATTTTTTTAATATTATCTAAAAAAAAAAAATACATGAAAGGAAATTATTTACTTGTATTTCTTTTCCACCCATTGACAATATTGAACCTTCAATGGCATTTTCTGTGGTTACAGATAATTTTCCCAAAAATTTTCCATCTGGATCCTTAATAAAAATTATAATTCAAATTATTTTCTTCAAAAAAAAAAGGAAAACTAAATTTTCAATTTCATAAATTTGCATACCTTCAATACGGCTTTATTTCCACTAACTTCCAAAATTCCATCCTCATCCCATGTTTTATGTTTCTTATTAGATTTTTTCCCAATAAGAACGTTATAAACAATTCTGAAGAAATTGAAGAAATTAATAATATTGAACTGGTATAATTGAGGTTAGGATCGTAAAAGCACGTGTTAATGTTTTCATAGATAATAAAATTTTTTTTTATATAAATTTACACTGTAAATTAAAACAAATAAGAATCAAAATACTTACAAATCATTACTTTTATCATTTTCTGTTAGATTTTTTTGTGATGAAGTACTCTGCGAACTTTCTTGAGAATCTGAAGATTTTACTTCATCAGCTTCATATTTATTTTCTTTTTTATTGAATAACTGTAAAATATGAGCTGTACTTCTCCCCTGGGCTCGATAATTACGATTCATAATGATTATCACTATTTTCTATCTGTTTCTATTTTTTTAAATAAAGTTTTTAACAAATTTTAAACAAACATAATACAACTGTCAAAATATATAAACAAAGGGTCACGTGGTTAGAATATTTTTTAATTCTATTTGGCGGGAAAATTTACGAATGTATTATTTTCTTATTTTTATTATTGTTATTGTTGTTGAGATTAAGAATTAAGTTTAATAATGTTGTACAGAAATTAATAAAAGAATTGTTGTTAGTTAATTTTTTAATTGATATTTTTAATTGATATTAAAATTTCAATTTGAAGATTCATATTTTTTTTTATACGTTGGTATCACTGTTGTGAATTAGTCCAACCTAGCCTAACCTAACCTTCTTCACAACACGTGAAAAAGAAAACAATTTTGTATCATTTATTGGTGTCATTTTCTATAGAGACGAAAACAATTATAAAATTACAGGATTATTTTAATTTATTAATTAAAGTGATATAAAAATATATAATAATGTTTGTCACAAGAAGATTGACAGTTTTGTGTACGCATTTAAAACAAAATTTGCAACGAAATTTGACATCAGAAGCTCCTGCTGCTTCAAATTTATCGATTTCAAAACCTGAAGAAGGTAAGTTTTTTAAAAATAAAAATTATATTTTGTAGATGATAAATATATTTTATTATTTTATAATATATGTTTTTTTTTAAAAACTAAGCATTATGATTTTTTTTAACTAACCTCAAAATTCAAAATATTCGTATATGAACATTATTTTCTATTTTATTTTTCAAAAATTATTGCTAACTATTATTATTTTGTTATTTGTATTGTCAAAAATGTAATTTTTAAAAAATAAAATCGAAAAATATCCATTAAATTTGTTTTCATTAATTAAAATTTATTTGGAGATTTATTTCTGTAAATATTGAAACATTTTTTTTTTGCATTAATATATAAGAATTTGTTTAAAAAAAATAATATTTCTATTTTGTATTTAGAAAAAACAATATTAGTAGAGGTGGACAATGAATTAATGACAATTGGCATAAATCGGCCTAGACGAAAAAATAGTCTCGATTTTTCAACAGCACAATATCTCTCTGAAGCTTTAGATGCATTTGAAGAAAATAAAAATGTCAAAGTTGGCATTCTTTATGGGACAAATGGCAATTTTTGTGCCGGTTATGATCTTCATGAAATTGCAAAACACAATGAAACATCTGATAATCAATTGCCACAATTTTCATCCTTGGTAAATATTTTACACACACATATACTCATAGTATTTATCGTTATTAATAAATAAAAATAATAATTTAATTGAATATTCATATTAATATAATTTCTTCTATAATTGATTATTTAAATAAAAAATTCTTTTGCATAAATAAAAATGTTTTTTAATTTCTTTTTTTTAAATGAAAAAATTGTTTATTAATTATTTCAGAGTAGTAGAGATAGTCTCGTTAAAAAACCACTTATTGCTGCCGTTGAGGGTTTTGCACTTGATGTGGGACTTGAACTTGCTTTAATGTGCGATTTAAGATTAATTGATGAAACAGCGTCTCTTGGTTTTTCGAATAGAAGATTTGGAATACCAATTATGTGTGGAGGAACTGTGAGACTTCCAAAACTTATTGGATATTCCCGTGCGATGGATATGATTTTAACTGGTCGTTTTATTGATGCAAAAGAAGCTTTTGAATTTGGACTCGCCAATCGTATTGTCAGTTGCGGATGTGGTAAGTTAAATTAAAAAAAAAAAAGAAAATAATTATAAAACTATTTTATTTTTTAAAAATTTTTTTTGTTTTACGAAAAAGTTTGCTTTTATTTTGTCACGCCCTATAAAGAATTGTTCTGTTTAAAAAAAATACGAAAAAACTTTTTCAGTTTTTTAGAAAAAAGTTTCCCCCTTTTTTTATTACCGATAAATTGGTATATATATTATTAAAGGAAATTATGATATAATTTCCATTTGAAATTTGTCACATTTTTTTTGATAAATATTCTGTTAAATGGTTTTTTTTTTGGTGAAATGATAATAAAATTATTGAAGAAACTCAAGAGAAAAGAAGATTGAAATGAATTTTTGAAAATCTTATTTTTCCCCTTATGAAAATTTTTTTTTTTCCAGTTAAGTGAATAACCATTTTTTATTATTATTTTATATATAAATTGTAATTTTTTAATTTCTATTATTTTGTCATTAGTTTATTATCTTTTTCTTTTAATTATTGAGTTATGTCTTATAATAAATTTTCGTTTAAAGCTGTAGGTGAATCTGCCGTCTTGGCGAGTAAACTGACCTATCATCCACAAGAGGCAATGCTCGCTGATCGTTTGTCCGCTCACCACGCGACATTTTCTGCTATTCACACAGATGAGGCATTACAATTTGAAAAAGACTGCGCATCAAATCCTTTATTCAATGAAGGTGTTCGTGATGCAAAGAAATTCTCCGAAGAAGGTCTTGGAAGACATGGAAAAATTGTCAATTTTTTTAAAAAGAATATAGTGAAAGATATTAGCGACGATTTATTATGAAAAAAAAAAATTCTTTAATATTATTTTATAAAAGTAAATAATATTCTTAATACAATAGATTTATTGACAAGTTTGTAAATATATTTTAATTTTTTAATAAGTAATTCAAATTTTTTTCCAAAATATTAATAATCTTTTTCTTTTCTCCATTTTGTTACAGTTTATATTCGAAATTGAAAAAAAATCAAGAAATTGATAATTAAAAATCGAAAAAAAGATTTTAAATCCACTTTGGAAAATTGGCATCAAAATTGAAAGTCGAGAGGAGAAAACTGATCATTAGAAAATAAGCGACAATTGAAATGAATTTCACAGACTAGTTGATCTCGAATTGAAATGAAATTTCATTATTTCGAAAATTGGAAACCATTATCATTATATTAAAAATAGCGAAAAAAAAAAATTATTTATTTTTTTCTTTTTTGAAAGAAATGAAAATAGAAAAATTTTATTCTATAGAATTTATCCTAGTTTTTATATAGTCAATTTTCTAGTTCACTGAATTTTCATTTAATTTAGATAGAATTTTTATTTTTGAAAAATTTTTCTGAAATATTTCTTTTAAATATTTCGTTATATATGAAAATTTAATCAAATAAAAATTCATAGTGAATAAAAAGTATTTTTTTATTTTTTAAATTGTCTTTTATTTGAATAAAAAGAATTACGCATGCGCTTCAGGAAGGATCTTTTCTTAGCAATGGAATTCACTGTCCGCTCGTGTTAATCGATGCGTTCAGCGATTTTTCTTTTTTTTTCTATTTTTTTTTTGCGGCAATATAAAACTCTCTCAATAATCGGGAATTTTATATTAGCGTTAAACAATTGCAAATTTAATTGGCGAAAGTAAAACAAGACAAGAGCTACCGTTACGACTATGATGAAACGAGTGCAGGTGGCGGTGAATGATTATGCAATATTCCCTCCCACCTTCTCTCGTAGAAAATCGACATTTGCACATCGTCCTGCGTACGATCAAATTTTTTGATGAATAAAAAAAAACTGATTTTTTTTCTCTTTTCTTTAAATTCTCACTGTCTCTCATTTTATATTAACAACTTTTCTTCTCTTATTTTCTATCTCTTATGCCAATAGTCTCTTTAATTATTGAAGTACTCTCGTTTTTCTCGTGAATTCTATTTTAGATTTCCTTTGAAAAAATTTCTTTTCATTTCTTTTGAGGGAAAAGCTTTTATCTCTTGGTTCCATTTTCCTTTTCTTTATTTTCTAATGTATATATATATTCCATTTCTTATTTTAACGTTCTATCGATTTGGCATTTAATTTTCTTTTTTATCGTTTTCTCGTATTGGATTTTAGTTTATTTTCTCTTCTTATGTTTTAAACATTTTGATTTTTTATGGTGTATTTTATTTTGGTTTTTGTTTTAATTCTAGTTTAACTTAAATAAATAAATATAGTTTATTTTTTAATTATTATTTTTATTCATTCTTTAAACGAAAATTATATTTACCCTTTAGTTTTTAATTTTATCCCTTCTATTTTATTGACATTCAATTTACATATATATAGTCGTTTTCTATTTTAAATCATTTACTATAAAATTGAGTTAATTTTCTATTTTATTTTCAATTACTTACTATTTTCAGTTTATTTCCTATTTTATTGTTTCTTTTGACATTTCTTCTCTTCTTTTATTAGTTACAATTTTAACTTATTTTTTTATACATCGTAATTTTCTGCAATTTTTATTTAATTTCTATTTTTCATTTCTAGTTTCAATCCCTCATTAAATTCATTAATTTTCCTTTTATTTTATTTTCAAATACTTAGAGTTTTCAATTTCATTTCAGAGTTTCTCATTGTTTCTTACGGTTTCCTATTTCTTATTCAGTCTTTCATTTTGTCAACTGGATTTATATTATGTTTGTTTTTCTTCTTTTTTAGCGGTTTCGCTTTTTATTTATTTGTTATATATTTTTTTAATGTAGGAAAAAAGAATTGAAAATTTATATGAAAATAATTATTTTATTCTTAAAATGTTGTATCATTTTTTTTTTCTTAGGATTTAATTTTTATTGTTGAAAAATATATTTTTCTCTCTAACATTTTCTTATGTTCTATTTTCCATCTTGAATGTTTGCTTGTCCCATTCATCTTTCAGCATCCCTCGCGGTATACTTTTGAGGCTGCTTGAATCTTTCTCTTTTTGTGTGCAAGCAAAGCCGAGGATCTCGTCTCACCCACTTTTATATGTAGTTCGCGACTGGTCCATTTTCTCGGTCTCGTTGTCTATAAAGGTGAATGTGGCACCCGCGCAGTATAATCTATGGCAATTATTTGCAATACCGCGTGATATATAGTCATTATTTTTTTTTTTTACCGTCAGATCTTTGTATCGAAACCAGTTGCTGTAAATAATAATTTATGATTTAATTTTTTATTTTTTAATTAATAAATATTAACAAATAATAAAAATATAATAATTTAAAATTAAAACAGTAAAAATAAAACTATTTTCACGTTAGAATATAAATTGAATTTAGTAATTAAATTATTTTTGAATTATTGTTATTATTAATGAATATAGTTATTTTCCTTACACGAAAGGCGCGTGTAATTCAGAATTCTTGATGTCGTTTTTCGCTTGTAAAATATTGCAACATTTGGCAATAACGAGGATTCATTTTATATAATTTCTCGCACCTTTCTTATCAGTTCATCTCTTTATTATTAATAATGAATACATACTTTTTTCTTCTTTATCGCTAACTCATTAGCACTATGTGTATATGGATAATCAAATCATTGAAGGAAGTTCATTAATATTATTGCGTGAATGATTTCACATGTGCGCAATAATTGCTTTTTTTTTCTCTCGATAGAAAACTTTATATCTGAAATGTAAAAAAATAAATTAATAATACTTTTTTTTTTATTAATTAAATTAATATATTGAATTTGTCATTAAATTACATTTTTAGATAAATTAATTATAATTTTACAAATTATCAAAATTATTAATTAAATTTCTCTTTTTTAATTTAACATTATGAAATTAGTTTTAAGTGTTTAGTATTATAATACTTGAGAAGTTACTAAGACTTTTATACATAAATATATGTATATACTTAAGTAATATTAAACCTTTCAGTTTTAATCCTAAGGGAAAACAAGTAGCTTAGATTAGAACGCTGCTCCTATATTCCTTTGGTTCCATGTTAATTTGTTTGCTTACTCTCAGTTCAATGTTACACGAATATACATTAATTTAGTTTAATTTTGATTTATATTTAGTAATATAACATTTTCTCAAGTCCTGGGATCAATCAATTTCTAGTTATATTAATAGATAGGAGAAAAAAAGTAGATTAATCGCCCTATGTATAGAATCATTATTTATTTTTACTCAAATTATTCTTTTCATTATTTTTATATACTTCGTTATTATTTATTTTTTAAAAATAAATTTGTTAATCACAATAATTTTTTAAATAAAAAATTTTTTTTTCTTGTAATTTAGAAAGAAAAAAAGTTTTATATTTAAGAAAAAAATAAAAAATAATTATCAGTGAAATAAAAATACAAATGAATATTGTTCTAATGTACACAATACTTATCTCTGTATTAATGTAATAATTTATTCAGAAAATTATTATATAGATAAAATTCATATTAAAAGAAGCTTTTGAAGGAAGAGATTTTTTTTTAATATAATTCTCATTAATATTTTATGAATTTAATAGAATAGATTTTTTTTCAGTACACTATAAAAAGATTGTTTAAATATTTAGAATCAAATTTTTAAAAAATTCCAAAAAATAAAGATTTATTTAAGCAATTCAAAAAGATATTATTAAATATTAGTGGTAAAAAAAATTATATTTATCTCCATTTTTTTTTCTGAGAAGTTGATTTATCATGTTTGTTCACGTATATAAATATATATATATATTCCTCAATGAAAGGGCAACCGAGCAAAACAGGATGAATCCACTTGATATAATTTCTCAATATTTAGCAAAAATATGTTATACATTATCTCGAAATACATTGTTTCATTTTTTTAAACTCACAATCAGAAATTAAATGACATATCAAAAGTGTACGAAACAATTTTGATTAATTTTAAAAGACTTTTTTAATTTATACGTAAATATTTTTATTTTTAATATAAATTAAATATTTATAATTTGATAATTATAGATATAATATTAATTAATTTAATTTCTATCAAATATTTATTTTATTATTTTATTTTTCAATTAAAAACTTCAATATTGTTTTTACAAACATTACTTCACCATTTTAAAATAATAATTTAAAGGATACATGTAATTAGTTTAGGAATTCATAAATTACAATTTTAATTTACAATATTTTTAGTAATAAAATTAATTGTAAAAGACTATTTTTATATTAATTTTCGTGTTTGTTTACAAATAAATTAACCTCAAATTGATGACAGTTCTTCACTTATGCCATAGTTGAGAAACTTATTTCCAAAAATTTTGAGAAGTTTCATTAAACGCACGACAGATGGCGCAACAACAAATCAGGTGTACCAACATAAGAACATGTAAATTATTTTTTCTGTTAATTAAAATTTAACAAGTAATTATAAATAAAATTAATTATTTTTCAATTAATTATATTAGTTTAATAATAAATCTTTATTATTGTAATATTCGTAATATCCGGTTTTTTGGAATTTTAAGCAAATATTTAAATTTACCACGTTCTCTAAGCTCTCGAACCAATCAGAGTCATACGAGTGAAGTTTGAATATTTCCGTTTTTTATTGTTGAAAAAATTCCTGACGCTACCGGTTGCAAGCTCCATTGTCTCTCCACTTTTCTCACCAAAAAAAAAGGTATTTGACTTATTATTTCATAAATTTTGCATCTCAGCTGTCTCACAAGCCGAGACAATTGATAATTAATGTAAATATTCATAAAAATTGATAAATATAATTGAGAATAAGTGTAAATGTGAAAATTTTCACAAGGGGGTTGAGGGGTGGGCGGGAGAAAATTTTTTCCTTCTCGCGTCATTTCTACATAAAAGATTGATTAAAAATATGAAAAATTTGGTAAAATCTTCCGAAAATGAACGCGAATTGTGTCGTGAGATGTTTTTTTTTGTGAAAAAACATTGTCATCGGAGTGAAATTCGAAAAATTTCCCTCATTGTTGAAAAAATTCTCGACGTTGCCGGTTGCAAGCTTCGCCATTGTCTCTCCACTTTTCTCAACAAAAAAAAAGAGGTATTTGACTTTTATTATTTCAGGAAATTTTTTCATTTCAGCTGTCTCCACAAGCTGAGACAATTGATAATTAATGCAAATATTAATAAAAAAAAATTAATAAATATAATCGAGAAAATGTGAAAATCGTCACAATGGGTCGAGCATGTTTGGGTGGGCGGGAGAAAATTTTTTCCTTCTCGCGTCATTTCTACATGAAAGATCGGTTAAAAATATGAAAATTTTGTAAAATCTTTCCGAGTATGAAGGAAAATTATGTCGTGAGTTGTTTTTTTTTCTTGAAAAAATAACAAATTTGTGATAGAAAACATTTTTTTTTTGCAATGTAATGTGATTTTTTCTTTTGTTTCAGATTGTCGATGACCTTGAAGTGAAAAAAAAGATCGTCGGACATCGTTGGGCCCTTTTTCGATTTTTGGTAAGAATTTTCAAAATAATAATAATAATAATAATAATTAATAATAATTTTTCAAAATAAATACATCGAATTAATTAAATTTTGTTAATACTTTTTTTTAGGTTATATTTGTCAAATTTAATATTTTTATATTTTTGCATTTTTTTTTATTTGGCGAATTAAAAATTTGTAAAATTCAGATATTATAAATAATAAATTAATAATTATTGATTTTGAATTTTTATTGTCGAAAAAAAAAAATTATTTGCGGCAATATATATATGCAAAGTTAATTTTTCTTTGTTTCAGATTCCATTTTTGATTGACGAGCTGTGATTATAAATGCAGCAGGTAGCAGAAAAAGGGCCCAAAAAAAGGTTAGGGGCAATTAATTTTCGGTCTCTTTGAACGGTTTCGATTTTGATTTAATAATCTGAATTGATAACCCAGAGGAGGGATCTCCGGAAATTAATTTGTCGCTAATCTTCAAGTAGAAGAGAATCGTTTCACATTGTTGGCTCATTTACGATTTTTGGTAAGTATTTTCAAAATAATAATACATCGAATTAATTAAATTTTGTTAATACTTTTTTTTAGGTTATTTTTTTGTCCAATTTTTTAATTTAAAATTTTTTACATTTTTTCATATTTCTTATTTGGCGAATTAAAAAATATCTTTTATTTTTTTAATTGTCAAGCAAAAAAAAATTCAGATTTTAAATTTTTTGTGCAATTTTTATTTTTGAGAATATTGACATTTTAATAATTAAAAAATATTTTTTTTAAAACATAATTTGTGCTTTTATAATCATTAATTTGTTATCATGAAATAAATATGAATTGAAAATATTATTTTTACAGCTAATTAATGTGATTTTTATTACGTATTTCTAATTTTTTTATTTAGATAAAATTTCCGACAATGCATGTAAAGTAAACTGTTCGTTATTTCAGATTTCATTTTTGATTGACGAGCTATGACCAATCATAAATGCATCAGATAGCAGAAAAAGGACCCAAAAAAAGGTTATGCGGCAATTAATTTTCGGTCTCTTTGAACGGTTTTGATTTTGATTTGTTAATCTGAATTGATAACCCAGAGGAGGGATCTCCGAAAATTAATTTGTCGCTAATCTTCAAGGTAGAAGAGGATCGTTTGACATTGTTGGGCCCTTTTTCGATTTTTGGTAAGTTTTCGAAAATAATTAAAAATACATGGATTTAATTCGATAATTACTTAATTTGTGTTCGTACTATTTTTTTTTTAAATTAGTTATTTTAAATTATCAATATATTTTAATTATTATCATCATTATCAATAATAATAATTAATTAAATTAAATTACATTAATTAACAAAAATAAAAAAAATTAATACTTTGACAATTATATTTATGCAAAAGAAATAAATTTATAAAAGCTTTTTTTTAATGGTAAATTTTTTTTTTTTTATAAAATTGTACCGGATTATGTGTTACATAAAATTGATTGTGTGCTCTCGCTTTTTTTTTAAACAAAAAAATATTTACGTATTTTCAAAATTTTAAAATGGATGCTAACTTATAAAAGATAAGGAATTTTTGTTAAGTTTATTTATTTAACAAACTTATATTTATTATTTATACACTTATACACAATTATATATTATTATTGTGTTTAATAAAAATTCCAACGTTGAGAAATTAAAAAATTTTTTTTTTGTTATTAAATTGGGTTAAATAAAAAATTCTATTAAATATTGCATTCGCTTAAAAGCAATTTTAGTTAATTGATAAAAATGATTGAAATCCTGGTTAAAATACAGGAAATTATTCAATGCCTCAAACAGTTTTCAAAATTAAAGTTGAATCTTTTTTTTAATATTCTTTTTATACAGCTAACATAACATCAGCTTTAAAAATTGTTTTAATTAATTAAAAAAAAAAAAAAAAAAACGTGGCAAGGTGCAGCTTTTTTATTTTTATTTAGTGCGTGTTGTACAAAAGTATATTATATGTCGATAATCCGTTTCAGATTATTAATAAATTTAGAAAATAATTATTTGTTAAATTTATTTTTTTTCTAAATAAAACTTTATTATTTTTCAGTCAAACAGAAAAAAAAAACCTCCCGATCTGCAGATAACTCCAAGCATCATGCACAGGGGTCTTCGGGAGTGGCCCTGAAGTGGCGATGCAATCATCGCTTCAACGTGGGATTCATCGACCGATAAGTCGTTTTATTTAAAAATTTAGTAGAAATAATTTTGAACTTGCATGATAAGAATAATATTATATTACAATTGATTTAAATAATTATTGACAATTTTATAGCAAAATTTATCAAAAATTGCACCGTGTTTTATGGGGAATTTGTCATAAATTGCCGTTAATTTCTTGCTATAATTAGTTGTGAAACAATTTTGTCGTTATTATTTTCTGTTTTAAAAATGCTGCTTTTTGCTAACTTTAACAGATCAATATTTATATATACTTCACAGAATTTCTATTTGATTGAATTTTAATTTATTAGAATTTGTATTTGTTTGAATTTTCATTTAACAGAATAGCCATTTAAACGAATTTTTAATCAACAGAATTTTATTACATAGAATTTTCCTTTAGAGGAATATTCTTTTGTTCGAATTATTATTTGACACAGAATTTCAATTTAATTGATTTTTTTTTATTACAGAATTTTTACATAACCGAAAATTCATTTAATAGAATTTTTGAATTTTGATCGAATTTTTATTTGACAAAATTTTTTCATTTGTTCGAAAAAACATTCGAGGTCGTATAATTATTCTATAAAAATTAATTTTTATATTAAAGAATTCTATTATGTAATAATTATTCTTTTTTGACGAGTTTCCTTTTTTCGAATTAGCATTTGACAAAATTTATTTCAAAACAAATTTTTACTTCACCGAATTTTTAGGTAATTTTTATTTGGTACAATTTTCATCTTACAGAATTTCTCTTTATACAACATTTTATTTAAAAGAATTCTAATTTACCGAATTTTAATTTAGCAGAATTCTCATTTAATAGAGTTTTAAGGGCTTCGAATTTTTAAATGCTAGAATTTTGAATTCACCGAATTTTAATTTATTAAAATTTTTATTTCTACAAATTGTTATTTGATAGAATTCTAAAAACGACGATTTTTTATTTTTCTGAAATTGCAAACGGCCAAATAAATAATCAACAGAAAGCTTTCGGCCCTGTTTCTAAAATTTATCAATCACGATTGTTTAAAAAAAATCTGATTAATCAATTTTAAAAATCGTCTCGAAATCTTTTTGACGATATTACATTAAAAAAAAATTTATTTTATTGAAATAAACGGTTACTTTATTATCAAATAAATATTTACTCGAACTAAATAATTATTATTTGAGTCAATTAAATGATATTTGGATCAAATACAGAAATTATTGATTCAAATAAAATTTATTTAATTCAAATAAAAATTATTTAATTCAAGTATTTATTTGATAATAATCAAGTAACCGAATATTTGAATCAAATAAATTTTTTTTTAGTGTATATATTTGGCCATTTTCAATTTCGGACAAATGAAGATTCTCCGTTTTAAGAATTATATTAATTAAAAATTCGTGCAAATAAAAATTCGAACAAATGAAGATTCGGTGGAATTAGAAATTTTGACATTTAAAAATTCGAATCACTTAAAATTCAGTTGAAGGAGAAATATGCTAAATTAAAATTCGATTAAATTAGATTTCCTTTAAATAAAAAATTGGATAAAAAAGAAACTTTGTGAAATAAAAATTTTGACAAATAAAATTTTGGTACCTACAAATTTTAAGTAAAAATTTGTTTAAAAAGAAAATTTTGTTAAAGGTTAATTTGAAAATAGAAAATTCGTCCCAAAAATAATGATGTCTAATAAAATTCTTTAAATTAAAAATTCTAATTATTTTTATCGAATAATCATGCACGTACCCCACATTCGGCAGAAACATTTCGTCGCTAATTTTAAACTTAACCAATCAAAATTTTCTCAGTAATTTCTGTTTAGTTAATTTTTAAATTAACACTTGAAAGTTTCTGATGGAAGTTAATTCGAACAAATAAAAGTTCCGTCAAATCAAAATTTGATGAAATAGAAATTCCGTTAAATAAATTTTGGGTTAAGTAAAATTTCCATAATATGAAAAATCGATTAAATGGAAATTTTGTAGAATAATAATTCAAACAAATGAAAATTTGTCTAAAAGAAAATTCTATACAATGAAATTTTACATAATAAAAATTCATTTAAATTGGCTATTATAGTAAATAAAAATTCGAACAAATTAAAATTCAGACAAATGAAAATTTTGATAAGTAGAAATTTTGTGAAGTGAATTTTTGGTTATATAAAAATAATGTAAACCGGTTTAATGGAAATTATATGTCAAAATATAATTTGGACAAATACAAATTAGAATGAAAGAAAATTATATCAAATAAAAATTCTAAATTAATTTTAGGCGTCTCATTTTCTTGAGCGAGTTATTTTGAAAATTTAAAATTTCCAAAATTTTTTTATACTTTCTGCGATGGTTGGTCGGAGGACCAAAAAAAAAAAAAAATTGACTAAAAATTTAATTAGTTCACAACTAATTAACGAGAAATTAACTGTAAATTTTCCAACAACTTTCGATTTGATATTTTAAAGTTGTTTTGTTAACTTCTTTTTTTTTGGCATTCGATTCTTCTTTATCTGTTAGTTTAAAAAGAAGGGTTTAACATTGAGCATATCTTAAATGATGTGTTTTCGCGTTTTGTGAATTTTTTTTTTTCAAGGGACGCGCAAGTGATGTATGTGCCTAACTAGAGGCTCATACATAGAGATGTATATGCAGGTACAGAGGTACTTACATAGTACCCATGGCGAGGTCGGGGGGCCGCCTCGAGCCATATAACAACCTACATTTTATTTACTACACTTTTACTCAGCGCACAGCTTAGCCGGCCTTGTTGCGGCCTGAATACCTTGCTAGTCCGCATCGGAGGCCCTTTCTATCGCCAGTTTGTGATTTCAGTTTAATATGCGCAATTCGCTGTCGTATGCCGAGCGTATAGAGATAAAGATAGAGATAGAGAGTCGCGCATTAAGTACACTTTAAAGCCATAATAGAGAGCCAAGTAGATTCAAAGTTCGACCTTTCTTCTATATACCACGATTTGGAATCGTTTGCCATCTTATATATACGTGTATAGTTACGTGATCCATGCATATAGAGAGAGAGAAAATATCACACTTAACCCTTTTGATGCGTATTTTCATTTCTGACATCGGGTCTTTTTATTGCTGTATAAATAACTCACAGTCAACAAAATTTTTAGTTGTAAAATTGTTGTAAAATTTTTCAAATATTTTACTTATTCCCTTTTTCTTTAAATAAATTACATTTATATATATTCTTTCTTTTGTTCAACATTTTTCAATACTATTGAAACAACGCTCGAAAATAAAATTAAATTTACAAAATAATATCTTAATCTGATCTGATGAAATTAAGATAATTATATTCTTTTACGAGCCTATAAATTATATCTTTAAATATTTACATTCTTTTTATTATAAGTTACTTTATATTATATATATACATCAATGAAGTAGTTTTTAGTGAAAATACCCACAAATTGAAAACAAAATATTCTACCTTTTTTTTAAATAAAATTTTGTAATAACTTTAATATTGGACATTTAAAATTTTTTTTAGTTTAGTGTTACAATGTTTATTAATTTACAATTTTTTTTATACCATTAAAAAAAATAATACATTGGCTAAATATTAATTATAATTAATATTTAGATTGTTTTGTATATAAGTCGCTGGCGAAAAATTTTTGTTTATTTATTGTTCATATATTGAAACATACAAGAGTCCTAGATTTTTATTTTCGTATCCAAAATTGCATATAAAACTTTTAAGAAGGTTAGTGATAATTATGCTAATGTCGTCAAGCGTGAAAAGTTAAATTTTATGAGTTTCAATCTCGCGCATTGAACGCATACCTTTGAGGCAACTGACCGAGGAGAACTTTCTGGCGCAATGTTAATTCTAGTTGAATTTTGTTCTGATCTGTCGTAATGCCTTTTTCCAACTTGCATTTAGGAAACTGTCTGGTGAACCGAGAAATTTATTCGGACTTGCACTTTTGATACGCGATAATACCAAGGCGAGACCTACACGTTTTTCAAGAGCGACTTGTATAATTTTTCACTTCCGGTCGACAGTGAAGCAATATATATATATATAATATATATACCAAACTATAATTATTTTCGATCGTCAAAATCGATTTTAATTATTAAAATGAAAATATAATCAAAATGATAATAAAAATAATAATAAAATTAACAAGAGTTATAATAACAAAAATGGTAATAAATATAATGTCTTTAAACAAAATTAAATTTTTGTTTATACATTGTTTAAAACTTAAAAAATTTGTCTAAATACTTATTCATTTAATTAGCAAAAGTGCAAGATGAGTAAAATTCTCTATTTATCCAGTCAGTTTATTAAGCCGAATAACACAACATCTACCCACAAAAAAATAGGCTGATGTGAAGACTTTTCTTCAAAATTGTGTTCTTGTGTAATATTTTTAAATAATTATGCTAATGGGTAGAGAAAATATTTAGTCTCTAATAATTATCTAAATTATTCGATTCTAAATTTTTTCAAAACTCATTGGCTTTTAAATATCCTCGTCACGTCTTATTCTAAAGCTCGAAAATAATGTTGATGCGATCGGTATTAGTTACTTAGTTAATTTCTCTAGTTATAAACAATCGGTTGCACATTAAAAACAAAGTCTTAAACTATTTACTATTTATTTACCCCGTAAATAAAACGCATGAATTAAGGATAAATCTATCCTTACCTTGACAAACCCTCCAAGTTTTATATATTCGATAACGCCTTAAAAAAGTAGGCTGATATGAAGACTTTTTTTTTATTGTGTTCTAACGTAATATTTTTAAATAAGTTAATGGGTACAGAAAATATTTCGTCTCTTATAACTAACTAATTTATTGGCGAACTTATACGACTCTAAAGTTTTCAAAACTGAACGGATTTCAATTATCCTCGGCACGTCTTTTTTAAAAACTCGAAAATTTTGTTGATGCGATCGGTATTAGTTACTTAGTTAGTTTCTCTAGTTATAAACAATCGACTACGCATTAAAAATAAAGTCTTAAACTATTTACTATTTATTTACCCCGTAAATAAAACGCATGAATTAAGGATAAATCTATCCTTACCTTGATAAACCCTCCAAGTTTTATATATTCAATAACGCCTTAAAAAAGTAGGCTGATATGAAGACTTTTTTTTTGTGTTCTTGCGTAATATTTTTAAATATGCTAATGGGTAGAGAAAATATTTAGTCTCTAATAATTATCTAAATTATTCGATTCTAAATTTTGTCAAAACTCATTGGCTTTTAAATATCCTCGTCACGTCTTATTTTAAAGCTC